GTTAAGTAATGGGGTACAAGTACATCCCACCACACCCAGGTGCTCTTTTTTTTTAATTAGGAGACTATATTTTAAAATACTACCAGAGGCTGAAACAGGAGAATTTCAAGTTTGAAGCCATCCCGTACAACTTAGCCGTACTCTATCTGAAAAAGAAATTTTAAGGACATGATGGGGATGTAACTTAGTGGTAGAGTGCTTGCCTGGCATATCCAAGTCCCAGATTCAATTCTGAAAGAAAAAGAAAAACTACCAGAAAATTCTCCAACTTTAGAAGTGACCACTTCTCAAGAAAAATATCAACTTGGGAAGTAAGGAGAGGGGCTGGAGACACGGATCAATGACTAAAGAACACTTGCTGCCCTTGCAGAGGACCTAGGCTCAGTTCCCAGCACCCACATGCTGGTCACAACCATCCTTACCTCCAGTTCCAGGGGATCTGATGACCTCTTCTGACCTCTGTGGGCACTACACATGCACATGGTGTAAATGCAAGCAGGAAAAATTCTCATATACCTAAAATAAATCAATCTAATTGACATGCCAGTGTGGTTGAGGGAAATCCAATGGGGTCCTAACCTGAGGTGAAAAGCTACATACAATTAATGACTACTGGAAGAGACTTTGTCTTTTCTAGGAATGAGTCTCCTAACTAGTTACCCAATACCAAGTGGTCAGTCCCTCAAAACTCCGTGTGTGTGTGCAAGTGTGTGCAATACTAAATGAACTCAGTAGTTTGTATTTATATATTTATTCATATATATGTAAAAATAGTTAAAGAATAAATGACCATGAATTTGAGAGGGGAACATGGAAAGGGTTGTAAGGAGAAAGAGGATAAAGGAATTTATATAACTTTATTTTCATTTTTTAATATTCTTAAAGTTTGTAAAGTGTCAGACAGTGCCTGTTTGATTCCCAGCACTCACACTTAAAAAAAAAAGGCAAAAGTCTCCTTGTTTTCCACAAATGGAACCTTCTATTAAAGACAAATCTGTGTACACGTGAATGCATGTTTCCCTGCCTTTTCTACTGTTAACAGGTGTATCTGACTCTTGGACATGTATGCAGTAACGGTTTCTTTGGGCTCTAGTGTTCAACTTCCCCGTAGGAGTTTTTGATGCGTGAGCACGATCAGTTCTTTTCACCCATAAGAATCAGTTCCCACAATCTCATCCCATACCCTTCTTTCCTAAGGGTCATGGGTCAAAGTAAAAAAAGTGGAATCTTTCTTGGAAAACCTGGGAATTAAGATCAAAGATGATGAACTTGAAGAACTAATGGCCCAGCTACCATCTGATGGTGAGTATTTCAGGCATCACCCTGTTCTTCAGAGAAATACAGCCCTTCGGTGAACACTGATTCTCTGCTCCTGTTCCTCCTCTTGGCCAATTCAGTGTCTTCATATAGATCAGGGGTTTTAACCTTACTGTGCCATGGACCTGTTTCTACATCTGCTATAACAGTAAACTTTTTGAAGCAGGGGATTACAAAGAAACAAGTCATACTAAAATACAGTTTATCAAAACATTCAAGTTACAAACGGTTAATACTTTTTAAAGCATGTAAGTTCTAGCAGGTCAGATTGTTGTCACTATAGGATAGAGATGGGCATAGACAACAACTCAACATATTTGCAACAGTAACACTGGCGTGAGCCCTGGATGACTTCCATTAGTGACAAAGTTACAGAGTCTGCTCTCTGTGGTTTGCTGTGCAAAGTAACAATCAAATGTTAAGTTTCAGTTAGTAGGTAGTGGAAATACGTATATATTTTTTCTCATTCAAGTTCAAGAAATCCCTGAATTCTATCAGTACGTGAACACAAAGCCAAGAACCCCTGATAGCCATCCTGCCCGCCTGTTCCCTGACTTCTCTGTAAGCAGAGCTATAACAGAGCAATAACGGAGACTGTGTGGAGCAAGTTAAACAGGGAAATAGCTTAGTGACTGGAGAGGTGGGTCAGCAGTTAATGCCTGCTGCTCTTGCGGAGGATCTGAGTTTGATTCCCAGCACCCATGTAGGGCAGCTCACGATGGTCCATAATTCCAACTCCGAGGGCACCAAACACCTCTGATATCTGTGGACACCTGTTCATGTGCACATATCCACACAATCAAAACCTGCAGACCCATATACAATGAGATAAAAATCTGCCTGCTTCCCTGACATGGTGTAGATGAAAACAGAGCTCTGCGCTGGAGAGTGACACTCTTAATTAGGAAGAATCATCATTCAGTCCAAACCCAGGACTCTCTGAAGAGAGGCCTTTCCTATCCTCCTTGCCTAAAGCATTCCTAGCTTCCATAACTTTTTTTTAAAGATTTATTTATTACATACAGCGTTCTGCCTACATATAGCCTTCATGTCAGAAGAGGGCACCAGATCTCATTACAGATGGCTGTGAGCCACCATGTGGTTGCTGGGAATTGAACTCAGGACCTCTGGAAGAGCAGTCAGTGCTCTTAACCTCTGAGTCATCTCTCCAGCCCCCATAACTTTTTATTACAGGGTCCTGTTTCATTTTTGATAGTGAAAAATTATCCCTTTTGTTTGTATGTTCATTGTCTTCCTCACTAGATTGTACACTCGGAACTCATCCTCTTCCTTGAGGATGCTTCCTTTAGCACCCACAAGTCCTCACAAAGTACCCAGCACAAGGAAGGTACTCTGTATTTGCTGATTGACTGACAAAATGAAAAATCTGTTAAGGTCATATTCTCCTTATACAGAACTATGCTAAGTCATTTCTTAACTGAGATGTTTCTGGTGGTCTCTAAAGCAAAGGAAAAAAGAAGAGACTATAATTATTCATTTCACAGTATAAACTGTCTGTGTTTCCAAGATAGCACTATCTTGGATAAATCCATAAAATTCTAAGGAAAACTAGAAAAAAAGTCACTGAATTCTTAGGTTCTTCATAATTTCAGAAGGTAATGGAGTGTAACTTTTATGAGTATTAGACATATGGAATCATCTTCCCTTAATTTACAGGTAACAGAACAGTGGATATAAATGAACTGATAGATGACATCAGTTACATCAAGGGTAAGTTTCAAGCCATGATAGGAAACACTTATAAATAACATGTTAAGTACTTAGCAATTAATACTGGGCAAGTATCTTTTCCATTCACAAAGGTCTTTTATATGGCATCTTTTCATTTTTGTGGATTCACTGAACTCAGGTAAACCATAACATGTATTTATACTGATACTTACAGTATTGTGTGAAATTTTCACTGAAAATCCCCAGTGTAGAATCAGATGTTCATCATCAAAGGAAATCAGGACAGGAACTCAAACAGGGCAGAAACCTGGAGGCAGGAACTAATGCAGATGCCATGGAGGGGTGCTACTTACTGGCTTGCTCCTCATAATTTGCTCAGCCTGTTTTCTTATAGAAACCAAGACCACCAGCGCAGGGATGGCACCACCCACAATGGGCTGGCCCCTCCCCCTATCAATCACTAATGTAAAAAATGCCCTGCAGCTGGATCTTATGGACGTATTTTCTCAATTTATATTGCTTTCCTTCAGATAACTCTAGTTGTGTGTCATGTTGACATAAGACTAGCCAACTCAAATATCAAAACCCAAAGAACCAGCCACACCCTTTACCCCAGAGAATCCCTCCTAGAAAAAGTATCCTATAGGAGTACTTTACTGGATAAAATTAAAATTTAAAATCCTATTTCAAGATTTTTGTTCTCATACTAAGTAGTAAGGAAACTATAATAAGTTAGAAATATCTAAGTGTATATTAGAGAAGCACTATACAAACCATTATGTAGTAAGAGAACCACAAACTTGAGATCAGCCTGAGCTTCATCAAGACTTTTTCTAAAAAAAATAATAATAATAACATTAGTTAAGTGGGATAGCATGAATTAAAACACTAACTATAAAGATTATATCGAGTTCTCTTTGCTGCATTTATACTAAAACTGGAAGACTACACAGGTTAGTTTGACCCCTACACAGTGATGATACACAAATTCATGAAGTAGTCCATACTTTTCAAGATATATAAAAAACTACAAAAAAAAAACCCAAACACATAAGCTAGGCATGGTGATGCATGCCTTTGGCCCCAGCACAGGGGAGGCCAAGGCAGTTGGATCTCTGAATTCAAGGCCAGTCTGGTCTACAGAGTGAGTTCCAGGACAACCAGAGCCACACAGAAAAACCCTGCTCAAAAAACCAAAGCAGTAAATAAACACCTAAAATACAATTTACCCAGTTAATAAATAATACATTGAATAAACAGTTCTCAAAAAGGAAATGCAAATAGCCAATACATGCTTTAAAAGGTCCTCAGCATCCTTAACTAGGATAGCTAAGTCAAACCAAAGTGCTTTGAGACTCCATCTCACATCAGTCAGAGTGATTGCATCCAAAAAACCAAAAACATATGCTGGAGGCTGTGGAAAGAGGAGCACTCATGCACTACTGATGGGAATGCAGACTCATTCAGTCAGTGTTGAAGTTCGCCCTTCAAAAGCTGAAAATAGGACTTCCGTATGACGGTTATCTCTTGGCTAAGTACTGGAAAAACTCTAGTCAGTTACCGCAGACTACGTGCATACCGTGTGCTGTTCACAGTAGCCAGGAAATGGAACAGCCTAGATGTCCATCCACAGGTGAGTGGAGAACATGGAATCTTAATCGGCCATAAAGCAAAGTCAAATCATAAAACTTTCAGAAAAATGGAAACTGCAAATCATTATGGTAAATGAATTAAGCCAGACTCAGAAAGACAAGACAATGCATAGTCTCTCATTTGTGAAACCTAGATTTAATACTGTGTACACACTCTGTGTGAATGTGTGTGTGTGTGTGTGTGTGTGCATGTGCAAGTGTATTTGTAGCTCATAAAACTAGAAAGGGGATGATGGAGAGGAAGAAGGGACCGTAAAGGAGGTGGACATGAGGAGGAAATGGAGCACACGTGCTAGGAAAGCAGGGCTCCTGACTGGGGAGGAGGGAACCAGCTGGAGATGAAGAGCAGTGATGAGGAAAGGCAGACCACAGTAAAATGGCATATGATGAAGATGCTGCAATAAAATCTGTTATTTTTGTATACTGACTTAAAATATTAATTTCAAAAAGTGTTAACATTTTAAAAGATTATGTAGAACCTGTTATCACTTATAAAGAGATGGTGGGGGACCAGTCCCATGAGAGGTGGCAGCAGGTCACCTGAGGCCTCAGGGGGTCCCCTGGCCTGTGACCTGAGGCCTCAGCCGGAGGCAGATAGATCTCTCTGCACTATGCAGAGAGTGTGGGTATAGAGTTTATCGTGGGTTATGAAGAAGAAAAGGAGGGGGAGAAGGGGGAAAGAGGAGGGAGGGAGAAGATAGAGGGGCAGAAACTGCCTCTCCAGAAGAAGGGGGGAGAGAGAGAAAGGGGGAGACCAGAGAGGAGGTGGAACGGTAGAAGGGGTGAGGTTTGTCTTTTAAAGGGACAGGGAGAGAGAGAGAGAGAGATGACCTGAGAGGAGGTAGGACTGTGGAAGGGGGAGTTGGGAGTGGGGCTTGTCTCTTAAAGGGACAGGATACCAAGGTGACAGACCAGGCCAGCAGATGACAATATTACCTTAAAAAATATTTATAAGGAAATTATTTTAGGTTGAAAAAGCAAACACAAACCAAGCATGGTGACACACATCTATAATTTCAGCACTCAGGAAACTGAGGCAGGAGAATCATAAATTTGAGATCAGCCTGGTCTTCATAGTAAGATAAAGTACAAAATTATATTTACATTAGATTTTCACATCAAATAAATAGTCATTATCAAAGACTAGAAAGAAAAACTGAGAAATGTTTTCTGGTAGGGTAATGGGATTTTTGCCCCTCCCACCCCTTTATAATAGCCTTTAGTGTGGTGAAATCTCTTGCAGTTAATAAGAAATGCTTTATTCTTTCTATTGAAATGAGATGAGTTGTTGGAACGCATAGCAACCAAAGAAGTAAATTACAGGCAAATATAATTACTAGATAAAAATTAAAGTTTCCACTGGTGTGTATTCCCGGGTACAATGATATATACCTCTAGTCCCAATCTACTTAGGAAACTGAGGCAGGAAAACTGCATGTTTGGCGCCAGCCTGGACAACGTAGGCAGCATGAGCAACACAGGGAGGCCTTGTCAAGAAGAAAGGAGGCTGGCGTATAGAGAAAACCATATTCAAGTGAGGCAGAAGAGAAAGGAATGTTAATAAAGCCTTGCTTATAGCTGGTCTGGTGCACGTTCTGCACAGTCCTCGGGGCTTCAAATCCTGGAGTCCGTCCTTCGTCTCCTCCTGCAATGCAGAACTATAGATGCAGGGTTTCCCAGTGCTCCTTGTCACTCCAGGTATGCAGGGCAACGGTCTACGTACACACAGACAGCACTTACTGTCCTGTGTAAGAATTGTTTCTATAACTGCACCCCATCTCTCATCCTTCCTAAGGAGAAACAATTGACAGCCAGAGCTTGGAAAAGTTCCTGGCAAACGAGGGGATCGAGCTCACCAAGGACGAGATGAAAGACCTGATGCCTTACCTGGAATTTAACGGTGAGGTTTCTGCCTGGGAGGTGGTGTCTCCCTGAAAGTGCACGTTTGTGGCCAGTATAGATGATCCTCAGAAATGATCTTTTCTGTGTCACCTGAAGCACTTGAGTGTGTGTGTGAATGACCTTCTGTCTTAGTTAGGATTGCTCCTGCTGTAACAAAACACCGTGACCGTGACCGTGACCGAAAGGCAAGTTGGGAGGAAACGGTTTATTCAGCTCACACTTCCACATCACTGCTTATCATTTAAGGAAGTCAGAACAGGAGCTTAAACAGGGTGGGAACCTGGAGGCAGGAACTGATACAGCAGCCATGGAGGCATGCTGCTTACTGGCTTGCTCCTGTGATTGCTCAGTCTGCTTTCTTATAGCAGGACCAAGAGCCAGAAATGGCATCACCCAGTGGTCTGGGCCCTCCCTCATCATTCACCAATTAAGAAAATGCCCTACAGCCAGATATTATGAAGGCATTTTCTCAGTTAAGATTCCCTCTTTTGGGCTGGAGAGATGGTTCAGCGGTTAAGAGCACTGACTGCTCTTCCAGAGGTCCTGAGTTCAATTCCCAGAAACCACATGGTGGCTCACAGCCACCTATAATGAGATCTGGTGCCCTCTTCTGGCCTACAGGCAGGATACTGTATAAATAAATAAATAAATCTTTTTAAAAAATCCCCTCTTTTCAGATAACTCTAGCTTGTGTGTCAAGTTGACATCAGACCAGCCAGCACATCTACGCATCTTGTTGAAATGCAGGCTTGGTTTCAGGTCTAGTGTGAAGCCTTGCATGTCTAACAAGCTCCAATGTGGCACCAGTGTTCCTGGTTCATGGGCCACACCTTGACTACCAAGGATCTAAAAAGGAAAGAGAAGAAACTATGCCTTGCTTTCCTTTTGAAATCCCCACGTAAAACCAATAAGTCCGTGGGGGGAGGGCAATAATTCTAACCCAAAAGAGAAGTACAAAAATATGAGTGACTGAAATTAGGAAATAAAAGTGAGCAGGAGGCAGAGGCTCAGGAGAAGCAGAGTTTGAGCTGATTGATCATTTACTTTCTGAGATGCAGGTCAGTAATGGGGCACTCGCCTAGCATCATGAGTAAGGCCCTGGGTTTGAATTCTAGCACCATCAAAATAAACAAACTAAAGCCAGTTGTGGTGGTGCGCATCTTTAATCCTAGAACTCAGGAAGTAGAGGCAGGTGGATTTCTGTGAGTTCGAGGCTAGCCTGACGACAGAATGAGCTCCAGGACACCCAGGGTTACACAGAGAAACCCTGTGTCGGAAAAACAAAATGACTATATATATTTATTTATATTTATATAAACTTACAGCAAAGCCCACGTGTACTCCTCAGCCTTCTCCTCCACGGCTTCCGTTCTGTTGTGCCGCAAACCACTGAACCATGATTCTCTAAAGCCGCTTTGTTCCTGCTTTTGTCCTTTAGCTTAGACACCACTTTGTCTGTAATTTCCCCCATCTGCTGCATCCCTGTCCCACGATGCACTCATGAAATCCTGCTTGACTGACCCATGCTCCCTTTTGCGTTCTCTGATTCCTATTTCACCATTCACCCTTCAACCAAAACAAAACCATTTCTTCTCTGAATTCTGATAGGATTTTGTTAGAGTCAGAATAGACAGAATATATCCCTTTTTATACTTTTTATACACGTCTGGCATCTCCCAATAGATTTTAAAGTTCTTAAAAGGAAAAGTCTGATGTCAAATGCTCAGAACACAAAAAGGAATGAATCACAGACTTGTCCTCAAAGAGCTTTGGGTCCAACAGAGGAGGAAGCACATAAAATAATGTGATATATAATGTGATAAATATATGCTGAAGAACATATGGCCAAGATTGAAATTTTCTGGGGAAAGACTGGCTTACCAAGTTGCAGGGCACCTTTCCAGTCAGAGACAGACTCACTATAGCAAAGCACATTTGTGATGGTTCTCAAAAAAGACTTCCAGGTCACCAAAAATGAATAAGATGTGGAGGTAGAAGAGCTAGTTGGAAAAAGGAAAGGATTAGCAGAAGTTAGATGGGTAGAAAAGATTATAAGGGGTGAATATGATCAAAATAGAGTCATGCATGGAAGACAGTGATATGATGGAGCCCACTGTCAGGTGTAACTAATATATGCTAGTAAAGGTTGGGTGGTGGTGGCGCACGCCTTTAATCCCAGCCCTCAGGAAGCAGAGGCAGGCGAATCTCTCTGAGTTCGAGGCCAACCTGGTCTTTTTAAAAAAAACTTGTCAGAACAAAGAGCAGGTCCTTCCCTTCCTATTCTAACATTTGAGCATATGCCAACACATACTTTTCTTTATATCTTACTTTTACCTATATATAGATAGCATATACATATTTTATACATATTATATCTGTGCGTTCCAGTGAGATGGCTCAGCGGTAAGGGCGCTTGCTGCCAAGCCTGACAACCTGAGTTTGATCCCCAGAACACACATGGTGGAAGGAGAACCAACTCCTACAAGTTGTCCTCTGATATCCACGTGCATGCTGTGGTACTCATGTGTGCACACACACACAAACACCTGTTATAAAAATTAAATATATATCTATTATCATCTGTTGGGAAAAGATACTTGTAGATTTGAGGCCAGACTCTGTGGACAGTGCCACTTCCCCACTCATGACCTGTAATTTTGAACCCCATTCCTTCAACTGTGAAAGAGGCACCGCGCTAAGGAGAACTACGCATCTCCTACAGAAGTCATTATCGGTCCCCCAGCCCCAGCTGAGAGAACGGCTAACCCAGATTCCAAAGCAAATGCATACACGTTCAGTCTAGTACTTTATTTGGGAGGCCAGGGGCATCTGAGGTGACAGGAAATCATGTAATAGGTTGTTTTGAATAATTTCACAACTTTGACTAACCTTACTAAGTTTTTATGTGGCTGCCTCTGTGTCTGAATCAAATGTTTTACAGGAAGCGGGAAGGTTACCGTCCAATCAATAATAGAGGGCCTGAGGAAGTTTAAACGTGAGTGAAAACTTACTTAAGCACAATTTAAAATTGATAATTTGGTGGCATATATTAATTTTCATATGTGTTTTCTTGGTTGTAAAAGTTCCCCTCTCCTAGTCACCTTCAGGGCTGTACACAACTTTGACTCCTAACCTTGTCTTCCAGCCAAAGGAATGATGAACCTGCACAAGCTGTTAAGAACTGCCAACAACATCAATGGTAAGTTCCAGCCTAGCTCTGCCGGTATTTTCCATTCCTGTTTTGTCAGTTTCTGTCCATCTGCTAGTCAGTAAGATGCCTCTACATTATCCCTCCAACTATTTCTCTTAGGTTCGTTTGGCTGCGGTAGTCCATATTACACTGTATCACACTGCGTATCAGACATCTCAAATTGTTTTCTCATGTACCCAGTGATATTTTAATTATATTATGACATCTTCAGTATCACTGTATAGTTTCTAATGTAGCTGGTCCTGACTCTAGTCTTAAGGGAAGCAATTCAGTTGTTTGTTGGGCTCTTGTATCCGCACCAGTACAGCCAAAGAGGTGAATTTAGATAATGATCTTTTTGTTCTCTTTTGGCTTCCAAATTCTAGTTTTAACTGGTAAGGGTGAGAGGACACTATTAAGGTGGTAAAGAAGGGTCCAGAATAAGAGAAAATATTTGTAAATGACATACTAATAAGGGTTGAATATCTAAAATATATAAAGAGACCTTAGAGTTCAATAATAAAATGTGTAAATATAGAGCTTGGACTGTGGCTTAGTGACAGAGCGCTTGTCTGGCAGGTGTGAGACCCTAGATTCACTTCCCAGTTTAGGCAGGACAAGCAGATACAGTCATTCTCTCTGGTAGACAGTTTCTCTCGTTCTGCTTACAGTCACCTCTTGGCCAAATACATTCAATAGAAAGCTCCAGAAACAAACAGTTCATACAGTTTAAATTGTATGCTATTCTTAGTAATGTGATAACATTTAACGCTACTCCTGCCCCCACCGTGCTAAGGACAAAAAACAATCCTTTGTCTAGAATATGGACTTTATACGTCACCCCATTAGTTGCTAATAAACCATCGCAGTTATAACTACTGCATTGTTCTTCTTGTGTAGTCTTCAGTTTTCTTAATAATGACTCCAAAACACAAGAATGGTGATGGGACCATCCGGTTTTGCCAAGAGAAACCAGAAAGTGCTTCCAGCAAATGAGAAGATGTAAGACTTCATTCAGCTCAGGGCAAGAAAACATTAGCTCATTTTAACCTCTTACTGTGCTTACTTTACAAAGTAGTATTTTGCCATTGCCATGAATGCATAGAAAAAAAAGATACTGTATAAGGTTCAGTATCCTTCATGGTTTTAGACATCTGCTGTGAATCTTTAAATATATATCCTGAAGATGAGACTGCTGTACCCAGTGTCTTTGAATGGCCAAAGTATATCAATAGACCTTGCTTCAAAGACTATGTTAAAATGACAAAGAAGGAGGTGGAAAGATGTTAAACATTGTTATTCACTGAGGAAACACAAAACAACAATGAATAACAACTTTACACCCTCTAATGTAGATGCATTTAATAAAAAGAAGATAGCACACACCTTTAATCTCAGCACTCAGGAGATAGCAGCAGGAGGATCTCTAAATTAGAGGGCAACCTGGTCTACAAAATGAGTTCCAGAATTGCCAGGGCTACACAAAGAAAACCCTATCATGAGAAAAAAATAGAGAAAGAAAGAAAGACATGAGCAGCAAGAAGGTTCAGTGGGTAAAGGCACTTGCCACCAACCCTGTGTTTATCCCCAGGACCCACGTGCTGGAGCAATGGCTCAGCAGTTAAGAGCACTGGCTGCTCTTCCGCAGGACAGGGTTCACTCTCAGCACCCTCATGGCACAACTGCCTGTAACTTCAGTGCAGGGGCTCTGATGCCTCTTCTGGACGCCGAGGGCATGCATGTGATGCACAGACATACATGCAGTCAAAACACCCATCTACTTAAAGTTAAATTAAACAAACAAATGAAGTTTGTCCTCTGCCTTCCACACACCCACTGTGGCACAGGCGAGCACATATACACACACAACAAATAAATGTAACAAAGTTTTAAAGCTTTTTAAAAGATAACAAGTGGTGAAGATGCAGAGAGGACAAAGAGAATGAGGCCCTCACTAAACTAGTGAGGTAATTGAGAAATTGAAGTATACGTGCTCAAATATTACCAAAAGAAAAATGTTAAAATCACATATGCATATATGCATATAACAACAATGGATGAAAAAGGAGGCCATGAATTTGAAAGAGAACAAGTAGGGGGAAATGATGAGATTATATGATACTCTCAAAATTAAAAAAAATTGTCAAAAATCAGAATATTTAGTAGGTTGTAGAACATAGGCTAGATTATTTAATATTATAATTTGCTATAAAAATGATGCTAGAAACATTTTCTTCGTTTTAAAGAATTATTTCGTGTGTAAAGATGTTTTCCTGCATGTGCACCATGAGTGTGCAGTGCTCCCAGAGGCCAGAAGAGGGTGTCGGATCTCCCATAGGACTGGAGTTACAGATGATTGTAAGCCAACATGTGTGTGTTGGGAATCAAACCTGGATCGTCTGGGAGAGAAGCCAGCGCTCTTAACCACTGAGCCATCTCTCCAGCCCCCTGGCATTTTTTTTTGATCGTTTTTCAAGAATAAATCAAGCACTTGGGAGGCAGAGACAGGCAAAGCTCTCTGTGAGGTCAACCTGGTCCACAGAGTGAGGTCCAGGGCAGCCAGGGTTAAATTTAGATAGGACCCTATTAAAAATCGGTGAGTAAAAGTTGACGTGAGGAGTGGGTGGTGGTCCGTGTGTCCATAGCAGTCAGAAGGAAGGCAGTGCCAGTGTCCATCAATGGATGAATGGGGAAACGAACTGTGGTGCTCACAGGGGCTACCATTCAGCTTTTTAGAAGAAGGAAATTGCAAGCCACACCACGACACAGATGAACCTCAAGGATATTATAAATGAAATAAGCCAATCACTCACATACACACACACACACACACACACACACACACAAACTACTGTATTATTCTACATATAGGAGATGTCTATAGTGGTCAGGTTCACAGATGTAGAATGTAGGGTGGTCATGAGGAGTTGGAAGGAGGGGAGAAAGAGAGGTTACGTAATCAACACAGAGTGTTGGTTGTGTAAGATGAAAACACTCAGTAGCTGGTATAGTTAACAGCACTGAACCATATACTTAAGAACTGTTGATGTGGAGCAGGGGTGTGGCTCTGTGGCAGACAGAGCACTTGCCAGCCTGCAGGAGACCCTGGTGTTGGTACCCAGCACACACAAAAATAGAAGTGAGGGAGTTGCTTCTATATAATACAGATCTTACCACTATTGATAAATAACAATCTGAAGCTTTTACTTCTTCTAGGCACCTGGCCCACACCAGCAGTCCTACATGCTTGTGAGGCACTGGCCCACACCTACTGTCCTACATGCTTGCTAGGCTGGGGCAGGAGAAATTTGAGCTCAGGAATTTGAAGCCAGCCTAGGAAAACATAATAAGGTTCTCTCTCTAAAGAAACCACAGTTTAGGGCTGGAGTGATGGCTCAGCGGATAAAAGCTCATGCAGTTCTTCTGGAAGGTACTGTTTGATTCCCAGAACCCACATGGTGGCCCACAGCCATCTATAAATCCAGTTCCAGGGAGTCCACTGCTCCCTTCTGGCCTCTCTAAGCACTAAGCACACATACGTGTATACAGACACACAGGCAGGCAAAACACCTAGACACATAAAATAATTTCTAAAGTTATTTTTAAATTAATAAAATAGGGGATGGAGAGTTGACTCCATTAGGAGCACTCGTTTGTTGCAAAGGACCCAGGTTCGATTCCCAGCACCCACATGGAGGCTCACCACCTCCTTAGTAACTGGAGACAGCCCATGCATTTCCCAGCCACCCAGACCTGAATAATCACATAGAAACTTTATTAATTACAATCACTGCTCAGCCTATTAGCTCAGGCTTATTAATAACTAACTCTTACATCTTAAATTAACCCATTTCTATTAATCTGTGTATTACCATGAGGCTGTGGCCTACTGATAAGGATCCAGCATGTCCTTCTCCTTCGGCAGCTACATGGCATCTCCTTGACTCCACCTACTCTCTATATATCTCTTCCAATCTGGCTATATTCTGCCATGGCATAGACTGAAGCAGCTCCTTTATTAGCCAATGATAATAAAACATATCCATAGCATACAGAGAGGAAACCCCACATCATATGTAGTACACAGATATACATGCAGACAAAACACTCAATCACATAAAGTAATGAAAAGAAATCTAAAAAGTTAATAAAATAAATCTTTAAAAAGAAACCAGACCAGGTGATGGTGGCATATGCCTTTAATCCCAGTACTCGGGAGGCAGAGGCAGGCGGATCTCTGTGAGTTCAAAGCCAACCTGGTCTATAGAGCGAGTTCCAGGACAGGCTCCAAAGCTACATAAAAACTCTGTCTCGAAATAAATAAATAAATAGAAACCAAAGTTTTACTTCTCGCCAGCTCCACCCAATAGGAACTGACATTATCCCCCATTTTAAAATAGGAAGCCCTCAATATATATTTGTTGAATTAATTTAGAAATTAAACCTTCCTCCTTTCTCTGTGTTCCTGACCAGAATAGGAGGCAAGTTTGAGAAACTTGGCTGTTACCCTCATACTGAACCATTCAGACCTAGAACAGGGAACTAGAAACACTGCCACTGAGTAAACCCGAAACCTTTGGAGCAGTCTGAGCCTGTGTTTATCCACAGTAGATGACAGGTTCTCCTGGCCCTGTGCTGGAGCGGCTGTTGTTGTTGGCTTGTTTTGGGTTAGTTTTTGGTTTGGTTTGTTTGGTTTGGTTTTGGTTTTTGGAGATGAGGCCTTACTTTGTAGCCCTGGCTGGCCTCGAACTTTCTAGGTAAACCAGACAGGCTTTGAACTTCTGACTTTGAACAGAGATCTTCCTGACTCCGCCTCCCAAGTGCTGGAAATAAAGGCATGTGCCACCACTGACTTTGAGGGTTTAAAGGCTAGAGAAAAGTCAGAACATGAATGTTATGATTTCTGCCTAATTGTCGATGGTTTTCCTTTTTGCTTTTGAGACAGAATCTGAAACTTACAGTCCAACTGCTTCAGCCTTCCAAGTACTACGGTTATAGGCATACATCACCATACCTGGCCATGTTAATTGCTCTATTTAACTCGGTTTTTCCACTGTTAAAGAATGCAAGCAGGCTGGAGAGATGGTTCAGAAGTTAAGAGCACTCAGTGCTCTTCCAGAGAACCCGAGTTCAAGTCCCAACATCCACATCAAAGATGGTTCTCAACTGCCTGTAACTCCAGCTCCAGATGACCCCATGTCTCTGGTCTCTGTGGGTACCAGGACTCATATTCATAGACATGTACATATACACATAGGTCTAATTTTAAAATTATAAGCACAAGATTTTTTCTAGACTTAAAAAATTAATGAAATTATTTTAGTTACTCTTCAATCAAGGGACCTGGTTAAAATACTTTTCTTAAATAAGTTTCAACACACTAAAGAAAATATACCATATAATTTGAGGCCAAAAAATTATCTTCTCTAAAGTCTCAACAGGCTTAAATTGCTATAATTCTGTAATTCGTTTCTTCATGCGCCACTGGAGTACCAAGTGAACCCCACTGAATACACATTTGCTCTAACCCTGGGAGGAGCCCCCAGGCCATCTTCTCCCTGAGCCCAGGCCTGAGCAGTGAATGAGGTCACAGCTGTATGAGGGAACAAACCCTTTATTGGATTTTTGATCTGAAGGCTCAAATGGTTGGTTGCTAATGGTTGGTTAGTAGCACAGCTCAAAAGTAGGTAAACGTCAGAATTTTGTCTGATCTAGGCTGAGTTCTTTAAAATATATATCTATCAATTATATAAGAGATTGGAACTATTTTTAAGTAATGATTATTTTGCGCCGTGGGGACCATTTCCCAGCACCTTTCAAGAGCCTAAATTGTTGAGCATCTCTGAGGCTCCCAGCTTTCTGGTAGGTTCTAGATCCTGAACACCTTGGAATGGAGTTGTTTAGAAACAGCTGCCTCTGGGTTCTGAGGCAGTGACCTGGGAGGAATGAATTCTAACCAAACATTCTGAAGCTTTTTTTTTTCCTGATTTAACAGTACGTGCTGATTCATCATTCCCAAGCTAGCAAGCAGCCTGTCTGCTTGTCAGCGAACTTCCTGATATACACTAGAGTTGGGAAAGCTAACTGGAGTGATAGAAACCTGCCTGTCTGCTTGTCAGCGAACTTCCTGATATACACTAGAGTTGGGAAAGCTAACTGGAGTGATAGAAACCCTCCCAGCCCCTGGTCTGCAGGCCGTTTCTCCGGTGATGCAGAAGGAAGGGAGGACTAGGAGAGCCATAGTATCCAAAGAGTCTGTGCAAGAGGCTATCCTCTCTGCTTTTATAAGAAAGCAGTGGACAGGGATGTGGGTCCCAGAAGGAAAGCCTCAGAAAATTTACTACATGGTAGGTGTTGTAAGACTGAAATAAGCAGGAAGGCTTTAACGCCTTCTTCTTTGCCAGTTGTGGCAGGAAATATTTCAGAATAAATTTTGTCCTTAATTTTTCCTATATATTTCTACGTGCTTTGTATCATATACTATTTTTAATTAGTTAAGGTATATAATTTGATGATTTGTTATATGTATACAATGTAAAATAATTTCTGCAATCAAACGAACATACAAGTTACCATAGTTATTATGGATCAGAGGCATCCAGGCAAATTTCGAAACTCTGTAAACTGGTTCTACCTAGTCACGGTGTTATCTGTTGCGGTGGTTTTTGCTCTTTGGGCTTTTTGCAGAGCCTGCCACCCAGCTCCCAAATAAATCACACATGGAGGCGTATTCTTACTTATGAATGCTCGGCCTTAACGTGTCTCATTTCTAGCCAGCTTTTCTTATCTAATTGTCCAGACTACCTTTGCCTCTGGGCTTTTAACTTTCTCTATTTCTGTGTACTTTTCTTCTTATTCCGTGACTGACTGGGTGGCCGGCTGACTGAGGGGCTGGGGGCTGACCCCTAATGTTCTCCTCTCCTTATTCTCTCATTGCTCCTCATTCTCTTTCTCAGGTCTCCTTCTATTTATACTCTGCCTGCCAGTCCTGCCTATCCTTGCTCCTATCTTGCTATTGGCTGTTCATATCTTTATTAGATCATCAAGTGTTTTAGACAGGCAAAAAAACAAATCACAGCTTCACAGAGTTAAGCAAATGCAGTGTAAACAAAGGCCACACTCCTGAAAATAATACTTCCTAGAAGTTAGCCATTAGGTCTTTACAAGCTACTCATCTGGCACCACTGAGGATTTGTGCTCCTTACCCAGCCTCTTCCTACACGCCCCCTTCCCACATTCTGTGCTTCTGTGGGTTTGACTATTTTGGATTCTACGTGCAAGTGAGAAAATATTTCTCTTTGTGTGACTGACTTATTTTGCTTAGCATTTATTTAGGTTTTTTTAAGACTTATGATTTTTACTTTTGTGTATACATATATGCAGATGCCCGTGCAGGCCAGAAGAGGGTGCTGAATCCTTTGGGACTAGACTGTACAAATGGTTGTGAGCAGCCCTGTGGGTGCAGGGAATCTGGGCCCTCTGGCAAGAGCAGTAAAAGCTCTTAACTACTGAGCCATCTCTCCAGCCCCAGCGTTTATTTTTATATAAGATCAAAGAGACATTATTTGAAAGGAAGAACTGTGACAAATTTTGCTTATAGATCTTAGCACAGACCTCCCCACACAGCCCTCCAATTTCACATGCAATGAAATGAATAGCTTGGATTTGCATACAATGCTATGCTTTGAAATCCTAGACTTTTTAATGTCAGGCTTTGCTCAGGAAAGCTGGGAAAGAATACAAAGAAACAATTGTATTAATAGACATGGTGGCACCTGCCTGCAATTCTAGTGCTGGGAAGGTTCAGGCAGGAAGGGACAAAGTTCTGGGCCAACTGAACAAAGTGAGACCCTGTCTCAAAAAAAAGGAAGGAAGGGAGGGAGGGAGGGAAAATGGAATAAATGATAGATGGATGATGGATGGTGATTCTGTGGATTGATCCTTTTCTGTATCTTCTGAATTGCAGAAAGAGTGTCTGGCCCCATGGCAGTTTCAGGAATTAAATCAACACTGAAGTTGAAGCCCCTCAAAGCACCCGTCTTTCACAAAAGGTAGGTAATAAAGTGTGAGGAGATTACGCAAAGTCTTCAGGTAATGACTATACAGATCACATACAGAGACTACGCTGAGAAAAATGAGAATATTTTATTCTGTGGTGAAGTTCCTTAAAACATCTGAATTAAGGAGATGTTTCTATTTTATTTATTTTGCATGTGTGCTCACATACACACACCACAGCATGCATACAGAGGGCAGAGGGCAGCTTGCAGGAGTCAGTTCTCCCCGTCCACCCCATGGGTCCCGTGAATCAAACTCAGATCCTCGGACTTGGCAGCAAGTGCCTTCCCGCTGAATCATTCTGTCGGCTTATGGGAAGATTTTTTTTAATAAAAAGAAAAAAGTGAACATTCTTTTCATCTAGAAAAGCAAAATTCTCCTTCCCGTTCTCCCAAAGGAAGTCCAGTGAATTAGCCATGCACAGCCCTACTAGGATAGGAGGGGGATTCTCCTGCTCGTAGCAATGCTTTTTCTCAGTCAGCTGCCAACCGATTCTAGCCAACAACCTCTGATGGCTGAAAGTGAGAGCCCAGGATGCCTTCCGTCACACAGCATGCATATGGTGCACATACACACCTGCAGGCAAGCAGGACACTCATACATAAAAGATTTGTAGAATAAATCTTTGTCGATGTTTTAAAAAAATAAAACCACAAAAGTAAGAGATTCCATATTCTTAAAACCTTTGTTAGCTGGGCAGTGGTGGCGCATGCCTTTAATCCTAGCACTTAGGAGGCAGAGGCAGTTGAATTCTAAAATTATTCTAAAGTAAATTTATAGGAGCTAGGTGTAACAGCACAAGCCTATAATCCCAGCATGGCAAAAGATGAAGGCTGGAGAATTGGGAGTTCAAAGGCATCCTTGGCTACATAGTGAGTTTGAGATCCTCCTAGGCTACATGGGATCCTGTCTCAAAAAGTTTATGATTATTTAATTTGCTATTAAATTATACTTAATTAAAAATAATTACATTTCACTTGTCATAGTATAAGCAAAGCTAGGTGTGTGTGTGTGTTCATAAATTGTTGCAGATTTACACAAAGAATTTTGAAATATTAGTATTTTCCCTTCTTTTCAGATTCTACTTCCCTGAGAATATAAAATGTTACCCAGAGTTCCAAACTTTCCAGAAGCATCCTGTCTCTGCTTAATCATTCCTTATTGTCTCTTATATATACTAAACACACATGTTGGCAATTAAAGTTATAATGGTAGATACAGAACCTTCTCTACAAAGGTAGTCAGCACAACATTATTTTCCAGATTAACCTTTGAAACAGGTTTCTAGCAATGGTGATGGCTTAAGGTTACAGCTTTGAACTTTGCCATCAGAATCTCATCTCTCTTACCTGTGTGACTTTGGACAAGCCATTTAATCAGCCAGATGCCTGTTTTGTACAGTGAGAGAAATCAAGTAGCTTTTGTTTTGTTTTTAAGAGAGGTAAGGGCAGCTTCTGACAGATTAGCCAGTGACGGTCTGCTTCAGCACTTTGAGTCTGGGCAAATTGTAATGCTTGTCACCGTTAGCATCAGCAAAACTCAAAGGCTTCACACCTGTGTTAAACCTGCTGTTTTTCATGTTTCTTCTCAGAGATAGAGATTTACGAGGATCTCTTCCAAGTCACTTACAACATAAAGATGCAAAGCTGAACTCTTCACAACTGGAAGGTAATGAAAATCATCCTAAATGTTAAAATCTAAGAACAACCAGGGCAATGGTGATGCCTTTAATTCCAGCACCCAGGAGTCAGAGGCAGGAAGATCTCTGAGTGAGTTCCAGGACAGAGGATCTTACTCTAATAGCTAAGACTAGCCTGCTCAATGTGTATCCCTGTCTGGTCTAGAACTCATAACAGTCCTGCCTCAGCCTCCCAAGTGCTAGGATAGAAGGGAAGTGCCCTTGCATCCAGCTAGTTCCCACACTGATCTTTCTCTAATGCACACGTGAGAGTTCAAGGAGCATCTGTAGTCCTATCATTCAAGAAAGGGAAAGCAGAGGGGTGAAATAAAATTTTAGCCAGGCATGATGGTGCACACCTATAACTTAGGAAGCTGGTACTTAGTTCAAAGTCAACCTACTCTACCTACCAAGGCCCTATCTAAAAATAAAAAATAAACTATTTGCTAGATTCAAGGATAACTTTCAAACTGACACCTTTCAAGATTTGAAACAGGCTTGGTCAAATATTCTCTATTTATTTTTTAGTTTTTCAAGACAGGGTTTCTCTGTGTATTGTTCTGGCCGTCCTGGAACTCACTCTATAGATCAGGCTGGCCTTGCACTCAGAGAGATTCCCCTGCCTCTGCCTCCTGAATGCTGGGATCAAAGGCCTGCACCACCACCATTCAGCTAGGTCAAATATTCTTATCCAGATAACTTGGAAGTGTGGTAAACAGCAAATTCAAGGTCACATATTATCAGCTACTTGAGGAGTATAAATACAATGTTTCAGGACTGGCCAGTGTGGTGACAAGTGTCTGTCATCCCAGCATTAGGGAGGCCTCCAGAGGCAAGAGGACCACAGGTTTAAGGACAGCTGGTCTACATAGTGTACAAGCCAGTTTTGTTCTCAAAGGACCAAATTAAATTAAAATGGAAATAAAATACCAGGATTTCTTTGAGACAGAAAAATAATAGTGAAGTTTGATACACTGTCTATAGGTCATTGGTCCAAACAGCATTCAGATATTTGAGCCAACAGTGTTCCAGGCACAAGAACATTAGACATGTCCCTGCCCTGGATGACTCAAGGCATGAGAGAAGTACGGAGTGCTAGGGGAGCATAGCATCGCATCCAGAGTTGGTCTTCTGAGGTGAAGAAGGGAGCCTAGAGAGAACAGAATGACGAATAAGTCAGGGAAGGATCAGAAGGTGAGAGTGTCTGCTATGGAAGCGTGAGGACCTGAATTCAGATGACAGGGCTGACGGGCAGAGAGAAAAGGAGCCAGCCAGCCCCTCAGGGGCCTGCCAGCCAGACACGGAGGAAGCAGGAAAGTAGGATGGACGACAAACACAGCAACACATACATTAATAGAAATGGGTTAATTTAAGTTAAAGGAAAAAAATAGCTAGAAAAAAGCCAGGCTAAGGCTGAGCATTCATAATTAATAATAAGTCCCCAGGTCATGATTTGGAGGCTAGCGGTCCAGGAAAGCCTACTATAGCCTGTCTCAAAGGATAAAGTGGAATGTGATAGAGCAGGACGCCTGGGCTCCACGCTCAGAGGTGAGCATACCCACACATACATGTGTGCATACACCACACACACACACACACACACACAGATACCCCACGCTCACACACAAAAGAAGAGGAGGAAGAGGAAGCAGGGAGAGAAGAGAAGAGAAACACCTTTGCCTACTGAAGACTTGAGTTCTGTCTCCAGGTCCCACATAGTAAAAGGATAGAACTGACTCCTGCAAGTTGTCCCGGGGCCTCCGTGTGCATACAATGTCACATACGTACATACACACACATGCAGGCATACACTCTCCCTCTCTTCCACTACTTCTTTGAGCAATTTGAGAAACAAAAGTAAACATATTATGATATGTTTACCCAAAATCTAAAATAAACATCTATGAGTCTATACTGATAGAAATAAATAATGAAAGTAGGAATCTAGGTCAGTGGTAGAGCAGTTGCCTGGCATGTGAGAGGGCCTAGGTTCAACACCCAGTATTACAAAAAGAGTGGAGATTGAAAAATAATTATTTAACACAAGGTAGAGACAAATGACCAAGAAATGGCAATAAAAGGGAAAATGTATTATATATTTATATAATATATTTATATATAAATATATAAAATATTTATATATACATATATATTTGTTTTGCTTTGTTTTCTTGATACACAGGGTCTGACGTAGCACAGTCTAGTCTCAAACTCACTGTGCAGTCAAGACTAACCTTGAACACCTAATCTTCCTGCCCCTGCCCTTGAGTGCTTGGGTTATAGGCAAGCACCACTATGCCTGGCTCTACATTTGTTTTTTCTATCAATTACTACTCATTCCACTTGGTTCTACCATTTCTGCTTGATGCTCGTTCAAATCCCAAGAAAAGACAGCATTCTGTCTCTTTAAAAATCTATTATTCATTTTCCTTTCTCTTTCCACATGTTACAGATCTTCAGGTGGCTATATGACATCTCCTGTCCTGTTAGCACACACATTTCTCCCTCTCCTTCCCCACTTCTATAGCCCAGGCTGACCTAGATGTCACTGTTTAGCCTAAGCTGGCCTTGAATCATCCATCAATCTTCCCACCACAGCTTCCAAGTGCTGGGGTTAGAGACAGAAGTTACCATACCTGACTGTGTCTCTTCTTAAATAATTGTCCTAACATATACCCATTTCCTCAGCCTTCCGAAATGCTTACAACTTCTTCACCAAGGATAAGACTGGCTGTATTGATTCACATGGATTGATGAGCACCTTAGCTAAATTCGGGATGAGTCTAAACACATATGATATCTACAATGAATTAAAATGTGCTGATCTTGATGGTGAGTATTTTGACCTATTATTTTCCCATAATATACTTTTTGTGTATATCTGTGTTATCATTTATCCTAAAGTACAAGGAATACCTCTCCCTTATCTACCAAAAGTATACCTCTAAACAAAGGTAAGGTTATCTTCCATGACCTGCATCTCACTTCCCATGGTTTCAATTAACTGGGTCAACTGTAGTCCACAAATATTAGTATTTGTCTAAACTCTTTCAAGAGAAAAAGACCATAGTAATGTAACTTTTTACAATAGTATACCATGGAGCCTGGACGTGGTGGTGCACACCTTTAACCCTAGCACTTAGAAGGCAGAGACAGGATGATCTCTGTGAGTTTCAGGCCAGCCTGTTCTACATAGTGAGTCCCAGGACAGCAAGGACTACATAAAGAGACCCTGTCTCAAACACGCATGCACACACACACACACAGAGTATATTGTTTTAATTATTTTATTATTGCTAATTCCTAATCTATCAGATAAAGTTTATTGCAAATATGTATATGTGATAAAGCGTAGGATATTCAGGGATCAGAATGGTCCACAAATCAACCAAAACAAAGCCAAAAAGCTCTCTCTGTTACATCAAGACATCCTCTAAAGTGAGTATCATAACAAAGACTTGAACTTGGTATTGAGCTCGGACGGTCACTCAGTTTCCACACAGGAATTTTCTTTAAAAATTAGGGTTTTTTCCTAGCTCGTACATACACCCCATTGATATATTTAAAGAGAAACACAAATTTACTGCCTATTGTCCTGCCAAAGGTTAGGATTGTAGGCATGAGCCGCCACACTCAGGTCTAACCAAGGTTTTAAGACTTGGAGGCTTTGAAATGTAACTTCTATGTCCCCCATGGACAAGGAACTACTACTATATTTGTATGTGTTTCTCTTTAAGGATATCAGTGGGCACATGTATGAGCTTAAAAAAAATGAAAAATGCCTGTGTGGAATCTAAGAGTGGCTGTCCCTTAGCCTTCGCTTTCCCAAATTGAAGTCTTTGTCATGATGCTCACTTTAGAGAATGTCTTGAAGTAACTGAGAGATGCAGTCATAAAATCCAAGTCCACCATTTCCATCTGAACCATAACGATATGAATCTCTCTTCTATCCTGAGAGCCCACTGACATTTAAATGCCAGAGAAATTTTGATAGTATTTTAAAGTATACAAGTCACGGAATTTGTTTTCCTCTTTGGGACTTTTTATTATTGGTATTTGGTTTGGTTTTTGGAAGCAGGGTCTTTATATATTCCAAGCTAGCTGACCTCTAACTTGCTATGTAGCTGAGGGTGGCTTTGAATCACTGATGCTTCTGCCTCTCCCTCTCAAGTGCTATGGCCTGTACCTGGAATCCAGCCTAACATATTGTGTGGAAAATGTTTGCAGTGTATTATTTTCTCTGGCCCCTCACCAGCCAGGGGCCAAGGAATCAAGGTCACCAGATAATTAGAACTATCACTTCTCCCCACTGGCTCTGCCCAGCTGTGCTAGTCCTTCAGGTACCTGCACACCCTCTAACCATACTTCCCGTCTTTTTGTTTGTGTTGTTTGGTTTGGTTTTCATTTTTGCTTTTTGTTTCTTCAAGATAGGGTTTCTCTGTGTAGCCCTGACTGTCCTGGAACTTACTCTGTAGACTGGGCTGGCCTTAAACTAACAGAGATCCGCCTGCCTCTGCCTCCTGGGTGCTGGGACTAAAGGCGTACTCTGTCACTGCTTGGCAACTGTCTTAACTTTAGAGGCAATGGAGCGCGGCTAACAGCTTTTACTGGATGCTTACACCTTGCCATTTTTTCTGTTGGCTAGAGCAGACTAGTGTAAATATAGATCAGGTCATAAAGACTGATGTAAATACAAGGGTTTTAAGTTCAAGACCAGCATGGGCTATATAGGGAGGCACTACCAAAAATAATCTCTTTAAGGAGAAAGGAAAGGAAACCAAGGTTTACCTGATCCTCTTTTCAGTCCTGAATATGCTGATTTTAAGTGTAAAGTGGCTCAGACTACTTTAGCTTTTATACTTCACATTCAATAAATAATTAAAATACATCCCAGCTGGGTGTGGTAGCAGACACCTGTAATCTCAGCAAACTGGAGGCTGAGGCCGAAGGATTGCAAATGTGAAGCCAGTCCTAGGTAAAACAAGTGTTCTCTCTCTCTCTCTCTCTCTCTCTCTCTCTCTCTCTCTCTCTCCTTTATATACAAATTGTGCGTTTATATAAGCTTTTAGCAATATGTTCTGAGCTGAGATTCCTGTTGCAGGAGACGGTAAGATCAACTTCTCAGACTTTGTAGGGGTGCTGACAGATAAGAAACTCTTCCTCAAGGCTGTGGGTGAGTAGATGTCTCTGGGAAGCCCCGCCCACTGCACAAAAAACACGACCCCTTAGGCCTCCAGTTAGGAGACATCTAGGATGCAATTCTAGGATCTAGGATCTAGGATCTAGGGAGAGTCTAGGATGTTATTCTTTTTCCTACAAAATAATGTCAAACAGACTGATACCATCAGAATTACAACTTACATACATCAAGCAGCTACTGGCCTCCAGCAGGAGAGACATTACTTTTGTCTCTAATGAGAACACTAAGGAAGTAGCAGGTGCAGAAAGTTTAGCCTTCCTTTTATCTTAATTTATTTTATTTTTATGTGTGTGGGTATCTTGCCTTATATGTCTGTATCAGATCGCCTTGAACTAGAATTGCAGACGGTTGTTAACAGCCTGGTGGGTGCTAGGAATCGAACCCAGGTCCTTTGGTAGCGTAGTCAGTGTTCTTAACCACTGAGCCATCTCTCCAGCCTCTTATTTTCCCTTTATAGTATTTTACTTCTTACCCAAGCACATGCACTACTTCCAAAAGCATTCCTTTTTAAAAAAAATAATATTTTGTAGAGCTTGGGTAGCTTACTATCTCTACACCCTGGTGAAGCCTCTGCTCTCAGTGAGAGGCCGGGGCTAGAGAGCGTGTGCTCACCTGTGGCCGTCGATCTGTTCAAACTGGAAGGTGCCCTCAGTCTCTCGTGCTCTGTTTCCTGACCCAACAGGCCGCCTTGGGAAATCCAACCACTCTTCATATCGCATGCTCTAGGATTCCAGTTCCAAACCCCACAAGTAACTTTGAAAACATACCCAAACCTAAGCCACAGCCTGTCCCTGGGATCAAGAAAAATTGGTGCTCTCAAAAACTGTGACAAATGAGTTTCTCTGCAAACTAGAGATATTTATTAATTACCTTTCATAGACGAACAAGACAATTCTATTTAACATATTACACATGCAGATGTTAAAAGTACTACCGTATTTACTTAGATGTCATTGAACTATGATTGTTCTGTCTACTCAGTAATCAAAATGACCTTTCTCTAAATAGAACAATTTTCATGTTTGCCATATTTCTAGTCCCTGATTTAATATTGCTACAAATTCTCAGTAAATTTTTAATAGACGATTTTCTCAGAAGACATTTTGAAATTTCTCTTTTCTGTTTCCTCTATAGTTCCTGAAAAGAAACTGTGTTTAGATTTAGCTAACAACCCCGGGATCTTATTATTTGAAATCCTATCAAAACTTGTAGAGACTTCATCCCTGCACAGAAAGGATATAATAGAGCTAGTAAGGTAAGTGGCCACAGGACAGGTGAAGGCAGCTTACCGAGGATGCATCACCAGAGTCCTACTCCACAGAGCTCAGTCTGAAACCAAAGAAAGGGGCGGGGCAAAGGCTAATGTCACAACACTCTCCTGGTTCTGAAATCATAAGACTGCACTCACACTGTGCTGAAGCTCCACGTGGGCATAAATCACACGAAATAAGCTTCAGCCATCCCGAGATAGAGCTGCTGGTGCACGAGCTAGCCCTTTCCTTTCCTTCTCCTTCCTTTCCTCTCCTACAAAGTGCCAGCGCTAACAACACCCGCCTGAAGGGCACCTGTGGGACACAGAGCAGCACAGCACAGCGTTACTCCTTACACTGTGGAACAAGTAGAATAAAGAGGACATGCATATTACTTAATAGAGTCCTCACTAAAAGAGTGCACACAATCACCGGTGTTTTGCAAACAAAAAATCCGGAAAGCAGATCAAATGTTTGCCCAAGAGTGGTGTGTTGATGTTAGCACAGTGACGTGTGCTCATGGCCTCCTGCATTGTGTCTCACTCCTACTAAGTGGACAGGACACCTTCACTATCACTGCTCTTGTTATTGAAAGTGAATTGCGATTTTTTTTTTAATTTGGTTATCTTTTGAGGTTGCTCTTTACCTGCTGAAAAATTTACAAACTCTGGGAAAAAGAGACCCAAGATCCAGGAAGTAGCTAAGACCCTTCCTAGATACAGTGGGGGGAAATACAGTGGGCATGAAAATACAAGATAACTAGGCAAAGAGGCACACGTTAGCCCAGCACACAGGAGGCAGAGGCAGGTAGATCTCTGAGTTCAAAACTAGCCTGGTCTATGTAGCAAGTTCCAGGACAGCCAGGCTGACCCAGTGAGACCCTGTCTCCAAAATAAATAAATAAACATATCAAAAAAAGAAGTATAAGACAAAGGAAAATTCTAAAGAAAAACAAAAACAAACAAAAGAATCAAGTTATGAAGAAAGTCCTATTACAGTAGTGGCAGACTTCTCTCCAGAAATCTTACAAGCCAAAAGAGAATGGAATGATTTGTTCAAAACATTGAAAGAGAATACTCAGCAATCAGGAATTATACACCTAGCAAAGCTGCCCTTCAGAAATTAAACAGAAAGAAAGGCTTCCCAAGACAAACACTGCAAGAATGCATTGCCACCCAGCCTGGCAACTGTGTCCAGTTCCTGGGACCCACATGGTAGAAGGAAATAGCTCCTGCAAGTTGACCTCTGACCTACACACACAAGCACACTAGAGTACATGAATGCACATGTATACAAATGCATGCACATACACATTAAATTAGTAAATGTGCTGGGTGGTGGTGATACACACCTTTAATCCCAGCACTTGGAAGGCAGAGGCCAGCAGATCTCTTAAATTCAAGGCCAGCCTAATCTACAGAGTGTTCCAGGACAGCCAGTACTGTTACACATAGAAACCCTGTCTCGAAAAACAAAAAAAATTAACAAATGTAGCAATGTCAAAAATTATGAAAAGAGACCAAGATGGTCCTTATAGAAATGATGAAGGAATCAGTTTAGCCAAAGGAAATAACAGCTGAGGCTGAAGCTCATCGTATAGAGTACTTGACTGGCATGTGGAAGGTCACGAGTTCAGTCCCAGCACTGGAAAAGCTAGTCATTAACGTTCTAAAAAAAACTTATAAGAATAGAGATAGCTGTGTAGCTGAGTAGTAGGACGCTAACCTAAGGTGCACAGCGACTGGGTTTGATCCCAGCCCATAGGGAGGCATAGTGCTCATGCTGTGCTCCCATCACACTGGAATCTGAAGCAAAAGGGACACCACGAGTTCAAAGCCATCCTGGGCTACAAAGTGAGATCCTGCCTCAAAAAAGAAGAAAACTGCATTTCAAAACCCAATACAGAGCTGGAGAGATGGCTCAGAGGTTAAGAGCACTGGCTGCTCTTCCAGAGGTCCTGAGTTCAGTTCCCAGCAACCACATGGTAGCTCATAACCATCTATGATGAGATCTGGTGCCCTCGTATGGCCTGCAGGCACACATGCAGGCAGAACACTGTATACATAATAAGTAAATAAACCTTTAAAAAATAAAACCCAATACAAAGTACTACAGTACGTGGCACCTTCTTCAGTGGTGTGGCTACTAGTAAGGAGCCCATGCTCTTGTAAATAATCCTTCACCCAGGACCCTGTAAGCAACCGCCAAAATACACATTGAGATTTCAAGCCAGAAAGAAGAAGGTAAGAATGAGGGGAGGGAAGAGAGGAGAGAGAGAAAATGAGAATACAAAGGAAGACAGAGAGGAAGGGAAGGAGTGGGGAGGGAGAGCAAGAATGAGAATACGAAGCATGACGAGAGACTGAAGTGGAAAGAGAAAGAGCAGCTGGGGGACAGGAGAGGATAATTAAGTGAATGTAAGAGAAGTATGTGTAATGTACAAAAATGCCATAATGAAACCATTACTATTATGTATGATTAACATATGCTAATAAGCCTTAAATAGATTTAAAATAAATAATAATCAACATCTATAACTTGTAGTTTGATTTTTTTTTGTCCTAACAATTCTTTATTCCATTTCTGAATTACCTGTGTTTTCTCTTTAAGTTATTTCCGAAAAAAATTCCAGGAAAGCCACTCGGAAATGCCATGGAGTCCATATGGGAGACGGGGCTTTAGGACAGATATATGCACTCCTCCGCGCTCAAGCACTGCTGCCTTTGCCAATTCTGCCAAGATCTCAATAATGAAAGAAAAGGATTTGTATAAGTTTCTTGAAGTACTCAAGCGTAAGAGCCATTTTCTCTCTCCACTGTGATAGATCAACTTCCAGGCAGCTGGTCAGAAATAGACACCAGAGGCCAAGAACAGGGCCCGGGGCTCTTGGAGTAGCTGCTCTCTGTCTCACAGACTTGGAAGCAGAAGTCCTGAGCCCTTGGACACCTGAGTGAAGTCTGCGGGATGGGTGTGCGGTGGGAACATGAGACTCAGGCAGAGGAGCCAGGGCCACAGGGGGAGCAGACGGAAGTGCACTGGGCTCTGCATGCTTGTCATTCCGGGAACTTTTTACGTCATGTATAATGCCATTTTTGGTCTTGTCTTTTTAGGGTGTGATTTCCCTACAGGTAGCCCGTACTCAAAAATACCTGTCTTTCCGTTGTTCCCTGATATGGACGGGGTGGTGATGGGAAAGCCACTCAAAGACATACAGAAGCTAGAGCTGCTAAGGAAAAAGGAGCCTCTGAGTTTCTTCGAGGACTATTTTTTCCATAAAAAAGATTGGAAAGCACAGGTGGGTTTAATCTGTCATACTAGCTAATTTAAATACTACATCTGTAAGAACCTAACTCAAGGCTAAAAGCATGTTTTCTTTACAGATAATGCGTAGTGTCTTGGGAGGTTGTAGCTATTGTTTTGAGATGTTTGTTTGGTTTTGGGTTGGGATTTTTAGAGACAATGTCCATTGTACTCTGACTGACTCAAATTTCTATGGAGCCAACAGTAAATTATCTGTTGAATATATACTTTAGAGGCTGGAGAGCTGATTCAGTGATTAAGAGCACTTACTGTCCTGCCATACTCTTTGTTTGGTTGGTTGATTGGTTTGGTTTTTTGACACCAGGTTTCTCTGTGTAACAGACCTGGTTGTCCCAGAACTCACTCTGTAGACCAGGCTGGCCTTGAACTCACAGAGATCTGCCTGTCTCTGCCTCCTGAGTGCTGTAATTAAAGGTCATACTCATTTCTTAATACTACTCTTACAAAGGACCTGTCTTACAAAGGACCTGACTTTGGTTCCTAGCACCTACATACATCAAGTGACTCATAGCTGTAATTCCAGCTCCAGAGGATCTGATGCCTCTGAACTCCACAGACATCTACATTCAAGTGTACACACACACAATTAAACATAATTTTAAAAATATATCTTAATAACATACCAACCAGTACCCTGTCCCCCGCCCTAATTTTCCCATAACATATATTGGTATCTATTTTTATACCTCAGGTATCATATTTACATTTATTATATATAAAGAAAGATATATTACATTATCATTTATATGTACTATATCATATGTACATTTATAAATATGATAATGTACCATATTTAATGTTGATCTATATTAATATATAATGTGTATATAGCTGTGGAGGTGGTTCAGTGAGCCAAGTGCCGCACAAGCATGAGGACCTGAGTCCAGATCCCAACACCCGTGTGAAAGCTGTCCTGGTGGCACATTCCTATAACCACGTGCTGAGACAAGCAGACCCTGGAACCAGTTTGTCTAGCTGAAAACTCTAGTGAGAGAGCCTGTCTTAAAACATACAGTAATATTCAAAAATGTCTTCAAAAGCAAGCAAAATGCCCATGTTTCAAAAAGCAAGACAACCAGACAAATCTTTACGAGTTCAAGACCGAGCTGGTCTACCTAGTGAGATCCTCACTAGGCAGGAAGGTCACATGGAGGTACTTAGACCTGACGGCTAGGGATAGGGTTTAGCCTGACAATTCAGGATGAGATGTGGATGCCCAGAACTAAATCTAAAATAATAATAATAATAATAATAATAGATTTAGATTTAATTTTAAATTTAAAACCTCTGGAAAAAGTCAGAATCTGTGAGAAGAAAGGTACTGCTTGGTACAAGGCCCAAGTTCACCTGCTGGGAGGCCTCCATGGAGAAAAAGGTCTTCTTTGGGAATATGAAACATGAGATTTAAGAAAACCTGGGTATGCAGCTGTAACTCACAGTTCCCATACTGGATACAGTCTCCAAACTGTGTGCTTACCTAAAAATCAGTTTCAAGCTTAGAAAAGTCTATAAGACACAAATATAAATATCCAAATCCTGAGCCACTCAATTCACACCATAAAAACAAAACAAAACCCTTTTGAGAACTGGCAAGACAGCCTGTGGTAAATGCACCTGCTGCACAAGCTTGCCACCCTGAGCTTGGTTCCTAGAACCTAAGTAAAGATGGAGAGACCTAACAATACAGAGTCCTCTGCGACTGCATGAGTGCCATGCACAGACACACAGACATACAGATGTTGGTGGAAGTGTCTGTCCCGTCCACCAGCTCCTGAGTAACTGATACAGAGACTTAATATTAATTACAAATGCCCAGCCTATAGCTCAGGCTTCTTACTAACTAGCTCTTACAATTTAACCCATTTCTATTCATCTATGTGCTGCCCTGAGGCTCGTGGCTTTTACCTCTATCCCATTTTGTGTGTCTGACTTATTCTTCCTCAGACTCTGCTCTTCCCCATCCCATCATTCTTATTTAGCTTTTTCTCCTAACTTTATCCTGTTCAGCTATTGGACAGTCAGCTTGTTTATTAAACCAATCATAGTGACATATATTCACACAGTGTACAGAAGGATTATTCCACAACATACAGATATCACACTATCAGTCAATTAATATTAATTAATGTAGAGAGATCCCAGAACAGACTATATAAAGAATACAGGGAGACTTTTGGCCTGTATTCAGAAAAGACTCACACAGGAAGGAAAGGATGGGTTGAAGGATGGAGGGGGAAAAAAAGGATGGAGAAATCTCAAAATGGGGGGAATAGTTAAGAAAATTCATACTAGATAGCTTTAGAGAAACCAGATCAGTAGCTGACAGAGTTTGGAGTCTGATTTTTCAGCAGCCACTTGGAGTGAGTTTGTTTGTTTGTTTGTTTGTTGTGTTTTTATTTTTTATTAATTTTTTTACTTTTTTATTATTTTTTAAAAAGAAAACAAACTATCTTTTTACATTTTACACCCAATCCTAGCTCCCACTCCCTCCCATCCTCCCATTTCCTCCACCTACCCCTCCTACCCCCCCCCCACATCCACTCTACAGAGAGGGTAAGACACATTGCTTTGGGAAAGGTCCAATGCCCTTCCTACTATATTCAGACTGAGCAAGGTATCCATCCAAAGAGAATAGGTTCCCCAATAGCCAGTACAAGCAGTAGAGATAAATCCTGATGTCACTGCCAGTGGCCTCACAATACGCCCCAGCCACACAACTATCACCCACATTCAGAGAGACTAGCTTGGACCTATGCTGTTTCCTTCCCTGTCCTACTGGAGTTGGTGAGCTCCCATTAACTCAGGTAAACTGTTTCAGTAGGTGAACCCATCATGGTCTTGCCCTCTTTGCTCATATTCTCACTCCTCCCACTCCTCAACTGGACTTTGGGAGCTCAGTCCAGTGCTCCGATGCAGGTCTCTGCCACTGTTTCTATCGGTTGCTGGATGAAGGTTCTATGGTGATATTTAAGATATTCATCAGTCTGACTACAGGGCAAGACCAGTTCAGGCACCCTGGCCTCTATTGCTTAGGATCTTAACTGGGATCATCCTTGTGGATTCCTGGTAATTTCTCTAGTGCCAGGTTTCTTGCTAGCCCCATAATGGTTCCCTCAATCAAAATACCTCTTTCCTTGTTCTCATCTCTGTTTTTCCTCCATCTCAACTATCCTGCTTCTTCAAGTTCTCATTCCCCCTCCCCTTCTCCCCTCATCTTCCCCTTCCATCCTCCCTACTCCTCCCCACCCCCATGCTCCCAATTTTGTCAGGTGATCTTGTCTATTTCCCCTTTTAGGTGGATCTATGTATGTTTTTCTTAGGGTTCACCTTGTTACTTAGCTTCTCTAGGATCATGAACTATAAGGTTCAATATCCTTCACTTTACAGCTAGTATCCACTTGTGAGTGAGTACATACCATGTTCATTTTTCTGGGTCTGGGTTACCTCACTCAGTATTGTTTTTTCTAGTTCCATTCATTTGCATGCAAATTTCAAGATGTCATTTTTTTTACCACTGAGTAGTACTCCATTGTGTAAATGTGCCACATTTTCTTTATCCATTCTTCAGTTGACCAGCATCTAGGTTGTTTCCAGGTCCTGGCTATTACAAACAATGCTTCAAGCTGCTATGAACATAGTTGAACAAATGTCCTTGTAGTATTATTGAGCATCTATTGGGTATATGCCCACAAGTGGTATTGCTGAGTCCTGAGCTAGGTTGAGTCCCAGTTTTCTGAGAAACCGCCATACTGATTTCCAAAATAGTTTTACAAGTTTGCAGTCCCACCAGCAATGCAGAAGTGTTCCCTTTACCCCACATCCTGTCTACCATAAGTTGTCATCAGTGTTTTTTAACTTACCCATTCTGACAGGTGTAAGATGCTGTCTCGGAGTTGTTTTGATTTGCATTTCTCTGATGGCTAAGGATGTTGAACATTACCTTAAGTATCTTTTGGCCATTTGAGATTCTTCTGTTGAGAATTTTCTATTTAGTTTCATTTTTTAATTGGGTTATTTGGAATTTTGATGTCTAATTTCTTGAGTTCTTTATATATTTGGATATATATTTTTTTCTGTTGTGGAGTTGGTGAAGATCTTTTCCCATTCAGTGGGCTGCCTTTTTGTCTTATTAACTATGCCCTTTGCTTTACAGAAGCTTCTCAGTTTCAGGAGGTCCCATTTATTTATTTATTGCTCTCAGCATCTGTGCTACTGGGGTTATGTTTAGGAAGTGGTCTCCTGTGCCAATGCATTGAAGGCTACTTCCCACTTTCTCTTCTATCAGGTTCAGTGTGGTTGAATTTATATTGAAGTCTTTAATCCTCTTGGACTTGAATTTTGTATATGTGGATAGATAGTTGAAGATACTTTCCTTGTTTCCATTATATAATTTTAGCTTCTTTGTCAAAAATCAGGTGTTTATAGGTGTGTGGATTAATATCTGGGTCTTTGATTCAATTCCATTGGTCAACCTCTCTGTTTTTATGCCAATACCAAACTGTTTTTATTTTTATTATTTTTGTTATTATTTTACTTTATTACTTTAAATACCAATCCAAATTCCCACTCCCTCCCTTCCTCCCACTCCCTCCCTTCCTCCTACTCCCTCCAACATACCTTCCCCCCACCCCCTCCAATCCTAAGAGGGGGCAAGGCACCCTGCCCTGTGGAAAGTCCAAGGCCCTCCCTACTACATCTAGGTTAAGCAAGGTGTACTGCAGCTCTATAATAGAATTTCATGTCAAGGATGGTGATGCCCCTGGGAGTTTCTTTATTGTGCTGGATTGTTTTGGCTATCCTAGGCTTTTTGTTTTTCCATATAAAGCTGATTATTCTTCTTTCAAAGGTCTGTGAAGAATTGTGTTGGGATTTTGATGGGTGTTGCATTGAATCTATAGATTTCTTTTGGCAGGATTGTCATTTTTATTATGTTGATCCTACCTATCCAACAGCAAAGGAGATCTTTCTATTTTCTGGTATCTTCTTCAGTTTCTTTCTTCAAAGGCTTAAAGTTCTTGTCGAATAGGCCTTTCACTTCTTTGGTTAGCATTACCCCAAGATATTTTATGTTATTTGTGGCTAATATAAAGGGTGATGTTTCTCTGATTTCTTTCTCAGCTTCTTTATCATTTGTATATAGGAGGGCTACTGATTTTTTTTTTGAGTTGATCTTGTATCCTGCCACATCACTGAAGGTATTTTCTGCTGTAGGAGTTCCCTAGTAGAGTTTTTGGGGTTACTTATGTATACTATCATATCATCTGCAAATAACAAATGTGCCACTTGGAGTGTTAACAGTGAAGAAAGAGCTGAAGAGACAGAATGCCAAGTAGCAGTGAGAGTCTGGAGATCAGGCAATAAGCATGTCCAAGCGTGGTGTATGTTTACCAGACTTCCACGAGCATTGTTCAACAGCCCAGCAACCGGAGGAACAAATGCTGTTTCCTTCAGGAAGTCTGGAAGCAAGAAAGGTTGCACTCTTTGGAGGGCACCTTGCTCGAATAGCTTGGGAATTCTAGGTCAGGATGGGGTTAGCTTCTCTCCACCCCTCATCCACTCCTCCCGTCAGTCTTTGTTTTATAAGCAGATTTCTTTGTTATTATTACAGTGAATTTGCTAAATTCCTGTTGACACATGCACCATGCTAGGTGCTCCAGTGCAGCTGACAGTTTAGTGACAGCCTTACAAATCATATACAAATCCTCTCGTAACAAATTTCTGACCAAGTGGTGGTGGCACACGCCTTTAATCCCAGCTCTGGAGAGGCAGAGGCAAACGGATCTCCATGAGTTCCAGCCCTGTCTGTTCTACAGAGCGAGTTCCAGGACAGCCAGCATGGTTACACAGAGAAACTAGGAAAAAAAATCTGGTTTTGTTTTTGTGAAACACTCACACTGAAGCCCAGGCAAGCCTGGAACTCTTTTCAACTTTCTTGCTGTAGTTTCCCAAGGACTGGCATTCCAAGTATGAATTATTATACCCAACTTCATACTAATACTTTCCCCCTAGTTATTAAGTCTTTTTATAATTAATGTCTAAAGTTAGTATACCAAGTAATGGGTTTCACTACGGCATTTTTCACATTTATGTCTTTGTTATCTAATTCAAGCTAAAGTGTTTCACTGATCTTTTTGCACGTATAAAGGCCGCGGCTGTGAAGCCCGTTAGGTCTGCCTCGGGCTATTCAGATGACATCCTAGGCATTGACCACCTCTTCAAGAAGAAGCAGCACTGGACCGTGTCCGATGCAGCGGCCCTCAAACAGCATGTGAGTATCAGGTGCCTTCCCAGACTGCACTGTCAAAGGTGTTTCCTGCTGGAAAGACTCGGCCTCCAGAAATAAATGAAAATCTCCCCTTTATGGTGAGACAGGATGAGCTGCGCCTCTCCCAGAACTCCTGGGAGCTAGCGTTCTTTGAGGGGTTCGGGAAAGAGGAGAGGACACAGATTACAAGAGCTGAAGGTGTGGTTTCTACAAGGGAATGGAAGCATTGAGAGCATGCTGATTAGCATCCAATGCAGAAGCGGGGAGTGGTGTGGAGTAAATACATTCTGTCCTCCTCTGTGGAGTTGTTAGCTGCTAACCAGGTGGAAGGGTATGTTCTGGAGCCTCTCCGCCTGTACCTTAATGTGTGTGTGCCAGCGTGTGAGCATGCCTGGGCCAGAGATCAGCCTCAGCTGTTCTATTCCTTAGGTATCTTTAGCCTTTTTTTTCTGTTTTTGACAATAATCGTCATGCTCCCGATACCCCTCCATCCAGGTTTCTACCCACACAGTCAACCTTCTCGCAGCACCCACTCATACACTCATCCCTGTGTATCTGTGAGTTCTGAGATTCAGAGACGCCACAGAGAGAAAAGCACAGCTCCTTCTCTGAGAAAGCTTGGGATGAGGGTAAGGTCACGGAGAAGGAAGGGTTCGGTAGCAGTGCGCTGGGATGTGTGGAACCTCAGAACACAAAGCCATGGCCAACTGACTCCTGTCTCTCCACTAATACATCAACACACAAACAAATGGAGGCTGCCTGTGGCCAGAGACCTCCAGCACCAACACCAGCTGCTCCATAGGCCAAGAAGCTTGAAAAGATTATGAGTTTAGCCTCCCTATAACTCAGCCATAGGAGAACAGCAAGGAAGGAAGGAAGCTAGGGTGACCATTTGGGCTGTTTCAATCTACCTTCTTTGTTTAGCAGTAGCCACCTATGCACTAATTTGCCCCAGCCTAGACTTCTTTCTTGTACATTGACCTTACCTCACTCACCATCTGACAACCCCTCCCCCGTATGCTAGGTCTCATAACACATCACGCTCAACATGCCCCATGCTCACTCGTATCTCCTACATCTGCCTGGCTCTCCCCTGAGGACGCTGTATCTCAGCTGTTGATGCCACCATTTCCTCAGTCACTGAAGTAAGAAGCCAAGGGGGCACCCTTAACATTGCTTTTTGTTTGTTTGGTTGGTTGTTTTGGTTTTTTCTTACTCCTTACTTCCACCAGTCACCAAATCTAGGCCAACTCATTCTGGGATGCTTTCCAAGTCTGTTCCCTTCTCTCTACCCCTGTTCTCTTGGCCCGAGTTGTGTCCTTCTGTAAGACTTGCCTGGACAACAGGCTCAAATCTGGAATCCTTAGTTCTGCAGCTTTCCCTGCCCTCAACCACTTTCCACACAGCTACTAACGATCAAACATGAAGATGCAAACGTGCCGTTGTTCCGCTTAGAGGTAAATGCTTGAGCTGAAGGTGGACCTCAGTGGGAGCGCTCCTGCCTAGCATAGACAAAGCCCTAGGTCTCACTCCCAGTTCTGGTAGCTAGGAAGGATGTGTGCAGGAAATTCTTCCAGGTAATATCCCAGGGATGGAAAGCATGAGAATTACAATGGAAGAGCAGCCTGTGCTACATAGGAAGTGCCAGGCCAGCCTGGCCTACTGAGACTTCCCCTCCAGTAGTGGCAGAGTCTTCTGCTCTGAACAACTGAGGGCGCATCTCACTTCCCTCAGAAACAGCCCCCACACCATGAAGGACTCTGCTCCACCACACTGGATTCTCTAACCGTCTCTGCTCTGACTTTCACCCAACACTCTGCCAACACCACGATGCTCCAGCTCTCCTACCAAGTCCAGGGTGCTTACTGTCTTCAAGCATTTGTTTATGTGGCCGCTTCATCCTGGGACTCCTTCCCATCACCTCTCGATGCCTCAATCTTAAAATCCTTAAGGATTTGCTCAGCTCAGCATCTTCTCCCAGCTGACTCTCCCTGTCTTAGGCTGAATCTGGTTATATCGCTAAGTTAACCCCACACTTCTCTCCTGGAACTCACTCTGTAGACCAGGCTGGCATCAAACTCAGAGATCTGCCTGCCTCTGCCTCCTGAGTGCTGGGATTAAAGGTGTGCACCACCACCACCTGGCTTTTAAGTGACACATTTTGATTCCCATCAACTCCTAGCTCCTAAATCCCATGCTGCCCCATATGTAGTCTCTGATTTTTACATGTGTGACTCTCAAGCCACCAATAACTATGGTTTATAAAATCAAAGATAGTTAAAGTAACTACATTCAGTTAATGTCTGCCCTCTCGATGCAGGTAAAAAGAGCCACAGATGCCTATAACTTAGGAATTGCCCTCGAGCACCGGAAAGAAATGCTGAATCTTTGGAGAAAGATCCGAGGGGATTTGATTGGGATTGAGACCAACAACGAGTCCTTCTACAACACCTTCTCCACGTACACATGGTCCTGGAACGTCTGCCAGGAGCTGCTTTCCGCTAAGGACTTGCGGCTGCACGACACCTACGTGAACAAAAACTCCTCCAGCAATTCTGGGCTGTCTTCCCCATCAGACCTCAGCGAGTATGACCTGGATACAGGACGGAAAAGGAAACGGAAAGGTTTCAGAGGGTTTCGGCAATGAAATGTCTACATTTTCTAAACAACGCTTAGAAAACTGCTTTCCATAGTTATCAAAATTATGGTTTCTTGCTTTTACCGACTACATTCTTAGCAGGTGGAAATTTTGACATCTTTTGGATTCCGGCCAGTAAAAACCTTTAAATCATAGGATGGCTTCTCTCCCCATGGTTTCTCTGCCCCAAATCTTTGCTACTTAAAAGTAGTTACTCTCTTATTAGGGCCAGTTGCCCTCTGCTACTCCCACTCGGCTCAAAACAACCAAGACAGAAGCAGGAAGGGGAAAGGTGGCCTGGGTTCCTAAGGGCCCTCCATGCAATAAGCATCTGAGTTCGGGGTGACTGTAAAGGAGATGGGGTTTTTGAATGTTTGTTTAAGACTCCAGATTTAGAGAATGGCAACTGTGGGGTAAACAGTTCTATAAACCAGCACACCCTCTGACCCCAACAAAAGAACCCCCATGACATTTAGGAATTCCTAAGGCACACCTTTCACTTGGATTGCACCTGCAAATAACTGAGCTCATACATTGCATTAAAGATGCACATAGCTGGGCAGTGGTGGCGCACGCCTTTAATCCCAGTACTCAGGAGGCAGGAACAGTTGGATCTCTGAGTTTGAGGCCAGCTTGATTTACAGAGTGAGTTCCAGGACAGTCAAGGCTACAGAGAGAAACCCTGTCTCAAGAAAAAAAAAAAAAGCAAACACATAACTATATTGCAAATTTGTGGTGTTATCATGATTTTTGTATTGTGCATGTGTGTAAGCTGTACATGCACATGTGTGAGCTGACCAGGTAGTGTTAACCACGCTGGTGTGTGCAGAGCCTAGAGGGAATGCCAAGGCATCTTCTGAAATCACTTCTCCATTTTGTTCTCTGTGTCAGGGTCTCTCACACCTGGAGCTCAACATTTCTGCTAGACTCCAGAATCTACCAGTCACTATCTCTACCTCCATGCTAAAAGCTACCACACTCAAATGTCTGCGTGATGCCAAGGGGTGGAAGTCAGGTCCTCATGCTTATACAGCAAACATTTTACCTGCTGAGCCATCTCTTCATGCTTGGGTATCATGACTTTTATTGTAATAAAACTTCACTGTATAGAACTTATTTAAAATTTATTTTAGAATATTTAAGTGGGGAGGCTGGAGAAATGGCTCAATGGTTAACAGTACTGGACGTTCTTCAGAGGACCTGGGTTCAATTCCCAGCACCCACATGGCAGCTCACACATACATGCAGGCAAAACACCAATGCACATAAAATAAAAATTTAAAAATTATTTTAAAATATTTGTGTATCCTTATTCTTCTTAGCTCTGTTTTTGTAGTTCTTCCAGTATTCTGTGGGTTTTGACAGTTTATCCAAGGGAGGCACATAACTTTGGGATTCTGCAAACACAAAATCTGCATTAACCTTTTGATTTATTATCAGGATGGCAAAAATGTTTTATTTGCTCTGCAGATTCTCCCTCCCCCCTAGGGTGAGAGCTACCCTCAGGCTTGATAAATAGGCAATGACAGCCTTGGATTTCCTGATCCTCTTGTCTTCAATTCCTGAGTGCCCGGAGTGTGGAGATTACAAGCATACTCCACTATGCCCGGTTTATGTGATGTTGGGTATCAAAACCAGGGCGTCATGCATGCTGGGCAAGCACTCTGCCAACTGAATGCCATCTGAAATCTTGTTCATTCATATTGATCCTCTTTCCCTCTCCCTGCCCCCTGTACCTCTGTAACCCTGGCTGACCTGGAACTAACTCTCTTGATCACACTAGTGAAGAATTTGCAGCAGTCCTCATGTGTCTGACCCCCAAGAACTTGTGGCCCCTTCATTAACTATGACTGTGGTGCCTACTGACTTGTGAAGGTCGTGCTGGCCTCTAGGCCCCCTCAGTTCCTGCTCTCAAGCCCCCTTTTCTCCTTCCCATTTAACTCTGAAACTCTTTCCCCTTGGCAGTTTGGAATAAACTTTTCCCTTTTCACCCATGAAACAGCTCCTCTGGTTTCTTTACTGAGCCCATTTTCATTCATAGTGTACTTACTGTAAAAGGATTGGTAAAGTTACCAGTCTCTCTATGGACTGCATCTATGATTAAAAGTTTTATTTTGACACTAGAAGAGATTCAAATAAAAAAGAGGGGTTTAAGACTGGGTTTCTCTGTGTAACCCAAGCTGTTCTGGAACTTGCTCTATAAAACAGACTGGTCTTAAACTCAGAGATCTGCCTGCCTCTGCCTCCCAAGATCTGGAATTAAAGGTGTATGCACCACCACCTGGCCAAAATCATTATTTTTAAATTAAACCTAACAGGGATGTACCATAAAATCCTAGTCTTATGAAAGCTACTAACTTACTGTGAATTGTTAAGACTAATTAAGAAATACAAACTAATGGTTAATCACCTTATAAATGATCAAATTCTTCAGTGTCTTTAGAACTATACTTGTAGTCAATGATAAGTATTAAGGTAATTACAAAATAAGCCTTACTTAGTCCCATGTATATGTTTTCAAATTAAGCCTAAAACAAGTAAGTAGAAACAAGCAAAGTTAACCTATTTAGATATACCTAATAGAGTTCCTCAAATACTTCAGAGATCTGCAGAATGCGACATTTAAAATGTTTAAGCTTCCCATAATAGACAGAACTGCCCCCTCCTAGTGGAAACCCTTAAGGTATTCAAAAAAGATAGCTGGGGCACAAGAACTCTGCTTGGATTGTGGTAACGCTAACCACTGGGCAAAACTGCCCCGTGCCTCACCTGCTGCCAGGGCTCTGCTTGTTGGTTGTCCTACTTTACCTGGTTAAAGTGAGGTCAGTCCTCCAAGTTATGCTGTTGCTGGATCCTAACAGCTTCCTTGGGAAGGAGGTGAGAAAGCAATCTATATCAATGACATAGATATCAGAAGTCAGGTGACAGGAAAACACCAGGCTCATTTACTTAACAATGGGAGGAACCTTACATACCCTCCAAGCACCCAGGTGTTCCAATCTGTTGATGTGGAGTGATAACCCCTCCTTGGCTAGGCATGATTGGAACCTCTAACAGCACCAGGCAAACTCCAGGTTGGCTCATCTCTTGGCCTGGTAGGCCTTAACTTCTTACATTACTCTACTACGGAAAAATCTCAGATCTGGGTCTAGCAGCCAAAGGCCTATGCTGCTCTGTATGACAGCTAAAGATCTACAACTACTGTCACCAGTGAAACTATGGAGATCACCAAAGCCTCAGGAAACCTGCCTAAGCAAGGGTCTGTCATAGATTTAGATTGTATCACTAATAGGTTTCCCGCACTGTCCCCCTTAATAAATTTCTCCGCTGACTCAGTAAGCCAGATAAAGCAAATTGAAAAAGTATAACAACAGGTATATTGAGGACAAAGCAACTTCCAGGTGGGTTCACTGGTCTCTGAGATGGAAGCCAGAGAAGTCACACGCCTGAGCTAAATCAGAGACGTTTTATAGATTGTAGGTGAGTGTAGGTGAACTGTCTGCCCCAAGCTGGGTTTGTGCCCAAGTATGATCAAAAGCTGAGCGATTATGTGGGGACTTGGGCAGCTGCTGGAATCAAAGGAGAAAATTTCAGTGGCGCCATGAATGTGGAACTGGGTTTTTGGCATCTTTCCTTTGTCCAGAGACTCTGAGTGGGCGGGGTTTGGAGAGAGAGAGACAGGAATAGGGCTCCCCATATAAGGGAGAGTCAGAGGCTCCAACCGAACAATTTCCAGTTATTATCTATCCTTCTCAGTTCTCTAAGGATATTGGTTGACTGTGGCTTTAACTGCAACCTGAGTTCAAGCCTCAGAATCCATATGGTAGGACAAAACCAACTCCTGCAAGTGGTCCTGCAAGTGGCCCAGTAAGTAAATTAAAAGTGATTATGTAAGTAAACACAATTTTAAAATTAAAAATAAATTTAGCTATTCCTTATAGTTATAATTTTGGGGAAGACATCAATAAGGAATCATATTTTCTAATCAGAGGGTAAGATTAGTAGCTTTGAGAAAATATTTTTATATTACTGTGTGTCTAGGAATATAGAATTTGGATGCCAAGTTAGAAGCTAGACATAGTGGTACAGTCCTGTGATCCCCACACTTTGGAAGTGGAGACAAAAAGATAAAGAGTTCAGGATCATGCTGCAATGTGACAAATCCAGGACTAGCTTAGGCTACATAAGGTCCTGTCTGCAAAGACAGCACCCAGAATATTACAATTACTGCAGTGTTTCTTTGGATCAGTGAAATAGCGAGATACTTTTAAATAGCTCCGATGGGGAAATGTAAACTGCACAGGAATGTCTCCCGTTACACTGTTGCACAGTACAGTTGGCGGCAGCAGCTGACACCCCTTGCTGTGATACATGCAGCAACAGGCATCTCATCCAGTCACCGACTTGCTGAATTCCGTGCAGTGTGCCAGACCCTGTTCTTCCATCTAGATCTGTAGCAGTTAGAATTCCTGACTTCCACGGGGCTTAGTAACAGATCTAACTATAACCAGTGGCTCAGCAATGCCTGGTGGTGACTTTTTCAGGACAGATGAGAACAAACCTATGTTCAGCCCAGACAGGAAAATGACCAAAGATATCTAAGTCTAGCTGATGAATCTGAATTTACTGGAGCTACTTACAGGAGTGGGAGAGAGGAATTGCAGACACATGCTGACCAAGCAATTGCATCCCTGAAAAGCCCACCCAGCATGGGTAAGGAGTCACAAAAGCTACATCCTAGAGCTCCCTGCCCAACTTTTAGGCAGCCTTACCAGAGATGACTCCTCTCTGCCAGGAGCTGTCTGGGACTATGACCCACGAGAAGTGGTGTTTTCTGTTTCCTAAGCTTCCTGTGTCTTAACAGCTTCCTTCCTCCTGCTAGGAAGGAAACTTCCAGTTCAGAGAAGATAATTACATCGATGCCATTTCTAGAAATTAATCCTAAAGAAATAATCACGAATATACAAAATTAAGTTACAAAGATTTTATTATGTTGAATATTTAATAGATAGGGTCTCATTGTGTTGCGCAGGCTGGCCTTTCATTCCAGGTTCAAGCAATCATCCTACTTTGGTTTCTTGAGCAGATATACTAATAGTACCATAGCTAAACTTTTTTGTTTGTTTTTTGTTTTTCGAGACAGGGCGGCCTCAAACTCACTTCGTAGACCAGGCTGGCCTCAAACTCCTGGTTTTTATTGATAAAATTAATTGGATTTTGCTTCAGGCTGGCCTTGAACTCACTGATCTGTAGTGGCATTTCATTTGTATTTTAAGAAATAAAATTTGCCTGAAGACCAGAGAGTAAAACAGCCCCAATGGTCAGCCTTACAAACCAGGCAGTGGTAACACACATACTAAATTTCAGTAGCCACACTAGTTGCCATAGAAACTAGGCAGTGCATGCCTTTAATTCCAGTGGTGCATGCCTTTAATCCCAGCCCTAGAAAGAATTATAGAACGGGAGGAGACAGCTCTCAGACAGTTTCATTCTGAGATTCCTGGAGGCAGGATCACCATTTCAGACTGAGACAGAGGTAAGAGCCACTGGCTGCCTAGTTTGCTTCTCTGACCTTCAGGTTGAACCCCAATTTCTCTCTCTGGGTTTTTATTACTTGTGCCTCACAGATCCACCTGTCTCTGCCTCCCAAGTATAGGGATTAAAGGCCACCACATGTGCCATCACGCCCAGCTATACTTATTTTTTAATAAGGAAAAATGAAGATGAATCCAGGAATGTTGGACACATATCCAACATTTAGGAGGCAGATAACAGAAATCTCAAGTCTGTGGTGGGGAAGAGGGAGGAAAGGAAGAAAGGGGAACTGTAGTTGGTATGTAAAATAAATAAAAAATTTAAAATTAAAAAAAAAACCTCAAGTCTCAGGCCACACAGTGTAGTAAGGAGGCCACTTGTTTGTCCCAGCCACCCAGAACTGAAATAATCACACAGAAACCATATTAATTAAATCACTGCTTGGCCCATTAGCTCTAGCTTCTTATTGGCTGACTCTTACACATTGATTTAACCCATTTCTATTAATCTCCATATTGCCACGTGGCTGTGGCTTCCGGACTAAAGGCTCCGGTGGGGCTACATGGCTTCTCTCTGACTCCGCCTCCTTTCTCCCAGCATTCAGCTTAGTTTTCCCTGCCTGCTCTTCCAGAGGTTCTGAGTTCAATTCCCAGCAACCACATGTACTCACAACCACCTGTAATGAGATCTGGTGCCCTCTTCTAGTCTGCAGGAACACATGCAGGCAGAACACTGTATACATAATAAATATAAATCTTGTCAAAACAAACAAATAAACAGGGATAGGGCAGTAACTCAGTGGAAAACACTTGCTAGCATACAAGAAACTTAAAAATAAAAAGGCAGTTATGGTGTCACACACCTTTAATCTCAGCACTCAGAAGGTTAGCAGCAGAAGCTGGTGGATTTCTGTGAGTTCAAGGCCAGCCTGGTCTAACAAACGTGTGGTTTTCCGGTCTTCTTTGTCTTCTCTCTGGGGGCTGGAATGCCACCCAGGAGTGCTGGTATCCATTAAATCTGGGCTTTTTCTAATTTGGTTTGACTTGGTCTGATTCAGATTATTGCGTCAGCAGAGAGGTTTATTGGGGTGCAGAAACTTTTCACATAGTACCACCCTGTCTCAAAAAACAAAACTAGAAAGAAATGAAAAAGAGAAAAAACAGGAAAAACAAATAGTTGTTAAATCTTCAGCAGCTTAAAGGCTGTTGGTTCTCCATGAGAACCAGGACCCTTTCCTGGATGTTCTTATTCCACAGGTCATGCCCCATTGGCCTAGAATTTACACTGCCTGAAGCTGGGGGCAGAGGAAGCATGGAATGATTGACTGCCCTGTACAGGGTAACTCAGGGCAATCTCAGGTAGGCTCAGGGTAGTCTCCTGAATAGCCCTCCACCTTTACAAGCATTGGATGCATCCACTGAGTAAGAGTATTCTTTGTTCTCTACTCAGAAGAGTTGGTGAGATGGCTCAGTGGGTAAAGGTACTTCCACCAAGCCTGACGAGTTTAATCCCCAGGACTCACATGGTGGTAGGAGGAACAACCCCCAGCTAGCTGTTCTCTGATCTCAATCTCCTCTCTCTCCCCCCCTATTTCTCTCTCCTCTCTATCTCTTTCTCACTAACACACACCAAATTAATATAATATGAAATACATGTTCTTGGCTGTCTTTTTTATTCTCATGTCTTTCTCTTCATGAGTAGGGAGGGCTTGGAGCTTGTTCCCATGTTTGTATGGGAATATGCAGCCTTTATTCTACCTACCATTCCATAGAAACTGCTATGGAATATCAGTGGGCTATGTCTACACTTCACTGACTAAAATCTCCTTCCTTCACTCCAAGTAGTCATCCCTTGAAGTCTTCTCGACCAACTTTATGTTGACAGCATACTTTCTAGTAGATCCTTTTAAGAGTCAATTTGCTCCTGTCCACACGTACGACATGAAGTGGAAGTAAGGCTACCTAGGAAAACAAAAGAGACTGATGGGAGAGACGAGGACCAAGAAAAGAGAGGGTGGAAGGATATGGGGGAATATGTCCAACCTACAACATATATTAAACTTTAAGATAAATTATAAGAACCAATTTCCTTGCATATAGTGGCTTACTCCTGTAACGTAGCTCTTGAGAAACTAAAGTAAGATTATCATGATTTAAAGACCAGCCTAGGCTACAAAATAAATTCTAGATTATCCTGGGGTAGAAATTCTGACTTAATATAAGCAAACAAATAAAAAAAATAAGTTGTAGCTTGGTACAGTAGCATACGCCTTTAATCCCAGCACTGGGGAGGCAGAGGTAGGAAGACTTGACCTCAAAGTCAGCCTGATCCATAGAGTTTCAGGGGAAAAAAAATCAAATTATTACAAATCAAATTGTAATAATTTAGGAATAAAAATTATAGAGGCTGGAGAGATGGCTCAGCAGTTAAGGCTGAAAGACCCCTGGAGTTGGGAAATTCTCACTCAAGTCTGAGGATAACACGACCCCCCCCCAAGTACTCATAAGAGAGAGACTGTCCTTGCTGTAATCACATGAGGCTTATTGACAGGAACCAGTGTGCTGGGGCTGAGACTCATATCCCACGCAGGGGTAGAGGAGTTCGACCCCGAGTAGCTGGGAGAAGGGGTATTTAAGGGAAGAAACCACAACCCAAAGGGGGTAGGGAGGGTGTCATTGGAAGATTCCAAAAATACCAGCAATAATCACAAGGGGGTAACTCCCATTTCTCAAGATTGTCCTTCAAAATTATAATCTAACTTTGTGGTCAGCCAGTTCCAGGAACAAAGTCACTGAACCGGCCAACCTAGATTTTTGGTTCTACTCTTCCTGCTAGGGGAGGGGGTCTGGATTTATCCTGGTCTTTCAAGGCCGCTTGCTGTTCTTCCAGAGGACTTAGGTTTTGATTTCCAGAACCCACATGGTGGCTCACAAGCATCTATTTCTCAGTTCCAGGGGATCCAGTGTCTTCTGGCCTCCACAGGCACGGCATGCCCGTAGCACACTGGCATTGTGTGCATGTGGTGTGCAGACATAAATGCAGGCAAAACACCCACACACATATGTGAAGGGAGAAAAAATTTAAATAGAAAATATAAAGCTGAAAATGCACAATTATTGACTATATGTCATGATCTACCATTATATTAAAACTATTGATGCGTATAATATGTAAATGTACATTATACATTAAAATAGGCTATTATATACATATTACAAACTATGTGTACGCATGAATTACGATCTGATGTAGGAGGATCATCTGTCTATGTGTTACTTTCATTGGTTAATAAAGAAACTGCCTTGGCTTTTGATAGGACAGCAGCTTAGATAGGCAGAGTAGACAGAACTGAATTCTGGGAGAAAAAAAGCAGAGGCAGTCAGACGCCATGCTTCTCCTGCCCAAGATGGAGCCACGACCTCCCTCTTGGTGGCATACAGATTATTAGATATGGGTTAGTCAAGATGTGAGAGTTAGCCAATAAGAGGCTGGAGATAACGGACCAGGCAGTGTTTAAAAGAATACAGTTTCTGTGTAATTATTTCGGGTAAAGCTAGCCAGGGGGGCGGAGGCAAGAGGCCCACCGTTTCTTCTACATCGATCTTTATTGTATCAATTAAACCTGGCGTTTCTAAAGGGTGTGGCCACGTCAATATATCCCTTTTAAACGTGACCGTTTCATTTTACACGGAAGCTTCGTGCTCTCGGAACCCACTGTGCACGCACGCGCTGCCTCCCGGTCGACAGTGGCCTTACTGGCTGTCAGCACCGGTGGTCTGGTCACAGACTCTTCAGTCAAAGCACCCCTGGAGGGAAACGGGGGACCTGCTGTGTTACAGCCCAGCCTGAACCGGGCTCAGGGGGACAGTTTCTCACTTGCTCCCGGTCCTGCACGCCCATCACCGTCTCCATGGAGTGATGACTCCTGAGAACGCCACAACTTGGCTCACCGCCTCCAACAGCTCCGCAGAGAGTTTCAAATCAAACACCCCGCCCCGCCCCCGCTTTTCCCGCGCAGACTCCGCTGCTTCCGGAAGGGGGCGTGGCCCACAGGAAGTACTGGAGTTTTGGAAAACAGACGCTTCCGTCTCCGGTGTCATGGCTGCCCTCACCCCTGAAGGCGTGCCGGAGACCCAGGACGGGAAAAGACGGCAGTTCGGGAACCGGTTCCTGAGCGATCCGGCGCGCGTCTTCCACTACAATGCATGGTAACTGCCCTGCCCTCGGAGGCTTGGCCCTCGCCACCCCGGAGGGCTTCGAGAAAGCCCAGCCCGCCGGCCCCTCACCCGCAGCGGCAGCCGAGGTGCCCGCCTCCCAGGGACAGCCACTCACCCTGCCCACACGAGGACCCTAAGCTGCCCGTTTGGCTTTCACAGGGACAATGTGGAGTGGTCAGAGGAGCAGGCGGCGGCGGCGGAGAGGAAAGTGCAGGAGAACAGTTCCCAGCGGGTGTGCCCGGAGAAGCAAGGTGCGCTCGCTCGGTTCTTCCCTCGTTTGTATACACAGCCGGCAGTGCAGGGCGCGTCTCCTGGAGAGGACAAAAGAATTGCAGCCACCAGGAGCCTTTGATATTGGCATAGAACGAGACCGGGAGGGGACGAGCTGGGAGACAAAGGGGCTGCCTTCTAACAAAACCTTGACGAACCCTTGGGGTTGAGTTTTCTACGTCTTTGTGGTTTGTTTTCGGAGGTGAGCCGTTCTTGTTTTATTTTTTAGTGGCCACCGCTTTAGATCATGTTGGCTAATGTCATGTTGCTGTGGCTGGCCAATGACAGCCATGCAGTAGTTCGTTCCGTTTAGTGTAGCGTCCTCAATTCACGTTCTGCTGGAGAGCTTCTGTCAGAGCTAGACTGGTGTGGTCAGATCGCAAATACTGTGGGAGGAGAGAATTATTGGATGGTGTATATGTTTCTGAGGTGACCCGTTTGGAGATTTAGGACTTCTACCAAAGAAAGATAGGGGTGGCAAGGTAGAAATGAGTGGTCAAAGAAAAAGAGGCCCTTTCTAAAGATAAGAATAATTGCATTATAAAATACCTCTAAAACTAAAGCTGGTTGGCCCTATTTCTAAGAGGCATTTGAAAGTCAAACTAGAAATGTAAGGTAAAAGGCACCGAAGGAGTTTCTGTATAGTAGTGAGGTCCTGGTACAGTCCAGGCTCGTACCTCCTAGGATGTAGAGGTGGTGTCTCTAGGCAAGGTCGAGGCAGGAGGACCAGTTAGGTCAAGATCATCCTTGCTTCTTCCAATCTGATCTGGGCTACGTGAGTGAGTCCTTGCCTCAAAACTAAATATGTTTGTATGTATTCTGGTCGCAAAACAGGCACCCTACATTGTTCGACAAAGTCTAGATAAAGCAACATAGCATTGAGAGGGATTTTGAAAATCATGTAGCCTAATATCCTCTTTTTACAGTTAAAGAACCGGTTAGCCAAGTGCAGTGATGCATCCCTATAGGCTCAGCTGCGTGGGAGGCTGAGGCAGAAGGATCACTGAATTGGAGGCCATCCTGGGCAACATAGGGTGATCTTGTCTTCAAAAAAAATATTAATCTTGGACCACAGGGCATTAAATGCTTTGCCTTGAGGTAAGCAGTGAGAGGCGGAGTCACATTTCTTAGATTTTTATTCTTTCATTAACTCAAGTCAGGTTTTTTGTGTTGGCAAAAAGCAGAAAAACAGCCCACACTTGCTGGTCTCTCCTCCAGCTCATTAAAACTCTGACTTCAGGAAGGGAGTTTCGCACTGCCTAGTCTCCTGTTAGCCGTATTTCCATCTTTGGTGTTCACTAATAATCTTAATTTGTGCCTGGCCTCCAAATCCTAAAGCAAGAACATACCTTCTGAAGAGCTGCATGGGTGACAGTCATTGAATTTATACAAAGTCCAAACCACCTGAGACATTTAGCTTGTAAATTAAAGATTTACTGGGGAAAATAATTACCACAGATACCAAAGGATCTGTCAGTCCCTGGCAAAGAGAACCTTGCAACTAAGAGTAATTAGATTTTTGTGTAGTGTGTGTGGTGCTAAGGGATTTGCTTAATTTCATGGCCCTGTAGTTGAGGGCCATCGAAAGATGTAGAAGGAAAGTGACTGGTAGCTAAACTCCCTGTGTGGTGGTTCTGGCAGAAGCTGGGGGCCCTGGGGATGAAAAGCAGGTGACATTAATGTATGATAGATAAGTAGCAAAACAATACCTGAGAAGGCATTCAGTTATCTTAAAGGATATTTTTTAGGAAAAAGTGACATTTGGTGAAGCAAGACAATTGACATTAGATGTAAATAAAATATTTGAGACTGATTCTTAAAATTCTTTCTTAAATAATATTTACAGTTGATTATGAAGTCAATGCCCATAAATACTGGAATGACTTCTACAAAATTCATGAAAATGGATTTTTCAAGGATCGACACTGGCTTTTTACTGAATTCCCTGAACTGGCACCCAGTCACAATCCCCTGACAGACTTACCCCTGGACGGCGAGAAGAGTGAGGTCTCTAAAGACAGAAGCAGTGAGGACGGACCTGGCCTAACCACAGAGCGGCATGGGTGTTCTTGGGCCAGCCGTGGATGTGACAGTCAGGGGCCTCCTGTGGAAGAGACTGTGACCCAGGAGCTCAGTCACCTAGAAATCTGTGCTGATGAATTTCCTGGATCCTCAGCCACCTACCGAATCCTTGAGGTAACTCTTATTTTTCTAATAATGGAATTAGTAAAGATGGCTCGTTTAAATGCAAGGTAAGGCTAGAAAGGCTAAGACAGAGTGTCCTGTCTGGTGACACTAGATTTGATCCTCAAAACAACCTGGAACATCTCCATGTTCCTTCTCTTTCTTTCTTTCTACTTTTTTTTTTTAAACTGGGAAATTGCCTAGGCGGCTACTATAAGGGAAATTCACAAATAGGGTCTACCAACTTCACTGGAAGCTGATTCTACAGCTGGTAAAACTTGGAATTAAGTTTAATGCCGTGGGGCTTGAGGGGGTGCAGTGCTGGCAATTGGACCCAAGTCCTGAAGCAGATTAGACAAGCTCTTTACCCCTTAGCTAATCCTTATTACCGCCTGTGAGGTAGTCCATCAACTCACGTCCCATCTAAAGGACTGGGAGCCTCTTGTGTGTAAGGAACTTTGAGGTGGTATCTGTAAAATGACTAAGTATGTCTGCCGCATAGCCCTCAGTAAATGTTCACAATTTTTATTTCTTTTTTTTTAAATATTTATTTATTTATTATGTATACAATATTCTGTCTGTGTGTATGTCTGCAGGCCAGAAGAGGGCACCAGACCTCGTTACAGATGGTTATGAGCCACCATGTGGTTGCCGGGAATTGAACTCAGGACCTTTGGAAGAGCGGGCAATGCTCTTAACCACTGAGCCATCTCTCCAGCCCCCCCACAATTTTTATTTCTGTGGAAAGCGCTATATTTAGCCCGGTGTTACTATGCAAATATTTCAACCCAGCCTATTATAGTGACAAGGAGGGCCTTGTGCTCACAGATGAGCATTAGAGGAACTGGGAATGTTGGCATTCAGGGTTGTTCCTTCAAGGGAAGGGACACAGTGCCTGTTACCTGCCCAGAAGGCTGGGAGCAAAAGTGGTTAATGGATTGGCGACCACACCAGATCTCCCCCTGACCCTGATTGTGGGCTTGTTTTTCTCAGTCTGTAGAATTTATCTTTACAGAAGTTGTATATATTTTACAAAGAGTTGCAGGGCACTCATGTTGGATCTTTATTTAGCTTACTTTGTTCCTCAGAGAGATTTATGCATGCATTATTGTGCATGTGGGGTTGTTGCCAGAAAAGTTTCCACCAAATTAGCTGTGATTAAATATGCCTAGAATAAACCACCCAGGGTCAGACTCCCAAAGTTTGAAGCAGCGCCAGCTATTTAGTTGTGTTGAACTGAGCAGCTTTTTTGCCCCCCAGATTGTCTCTGCTGGTCACGGAGGTCACTGGGGTCTTTCAGTCTATCTTTCTAATAATGATATAGGAAGTTCATAGGAAGATAGTATATCTACATGGCCGTCTGCTGGTACTCAGAAAGTAAAACTAGCTTCTGCCCACAGACCTGCTTTGTTCAGCCAGTGAGAGCCCGGGCTCTTGTCTTTTGCTATCCTCTTTAGCCATGGGTCCTGTTTAGTTCTGGTCACTAGACTTTTCCTAGTACAGTTCTGAAAAGCTGGTGTGACAGTGCCGGCAGTCCCAGTACTTGGGAGGCCGAGGCAGGAAAACCGTAAGTTATAGGTCAGTCTGGGCTCTGTTTAAAAAAGAAGGTGGAAAGGGGGTTAATCAATAACTTCTGGGACTAATGGCTCATTTCTGTCTGCAGGTTGGTTGTGGTGTAGGAAACACAGTCTTTCCAATTCTACAGACTAACAAGTAAGTATGCTGTCAGGTTTACAGGACGGCAAAGAGGAAAAGTGAGAGTTTGCTCCTCGAAGCATGAGTTATTTGGGGTGTGGATGGCTATGTCACCCTCTTAGGGTGGCTTTAGTTTAGCGTTAGTGAAATTAGACGTAACACCAGTTGCCGTGTAAAAGATGTTCTGTGAGTTCTGTGAGCTGTGAGGAGCAGTTGTTAGGTTGTCACTTCTTGCCCGAGGTCAGGGTGGGACAGCTGGCCTACATGAAGTTATCTGCTTCTGCACACTTGCACACACAGCATTCTGCACACTTGCACACACAGCATTCTACACACTTGCACACACAGCACTGTGACACCAGGAGTGTGGGGTTTTCCCAAACTAGCAAGACCTGCACCTGAAATTGAGGCGTCCTTTGGTTCAGTTCCAATACTGTCGCCCTGGGGTTAACATCAAGTCCCATGGGTCAAAGGCTCAGTCTTACAAGACTATTCCCCACTTCAGATTCTAGCTGCTAACACAGGCTCACACTTCCAATCCACATTGCCCTCCTAGGTTTGGCTGGCTTTACTGTTCATTATCATGGGGTATTGTAAGGGTACAGGGAACAGCCAGATGAGGAGACTAGACATACAGGGTGAGGACTAAATCTTTGGAACTCTCTAATCATGGCATCTGTAAGTGCTGGCCCTCCTGAGGCTACCTAGGCCCTAGACACTTCTGCCATTCAGGAAATCCCTAGCGTTTTGGGAGCCTTGCCTAGAAAGTGTGTAAGTGTGTGTGTGTGTGTGTGTGTGGTTTCTTACCACATTTCAAGACGCCCTGCTTGCCACTTAATCTGCAGCCTGGCGGGGCCTCTTGTCCTATAGAGGTTTAAATTAAGTCTCTGTCATTCTTCTTATTAATAAGATTTGGGAGTCAAAGGCTGGGATGAAAACCTACTAGCTCAGAGAGATTGAGTAGCAACTAGCTGACCTTGATTTTTGGCCAGAGATACGGCAAAAGACAGGATTCTTCGCTCATCTCAGAACCCAAAAGAGAAGTTCAGACTCTAGTCCTGCCCTTTCCTTCCTGTGTGTCTTCTCTATCCAAATTGTTGGCTTCTCTGTGACCAATTCTGGGTCAGTTAAATGCTGGCTCTGCTCCCTGATTCAAAGTTTAGCTTCTTGGCAAGTCTCGGGAATGTCAGTTCAATCAAAATATCACATAATGCAGATGCTCTAAAGAACCCACTGTTCCTCAAAAGTTTCATCTAGACAGTTTTCCCAGTTTAGTTCACAATATTTAATTGCTGCAGAGACAAGCAGATCTCTGAGCCAGCCTGATCTACTTAGTAAGTTCCAGACAAGGAGGATGGCCCGGGAGTACTTGCTGCCAAGCCTAACAACATGGGTTCAATTCCCAGAGCATAGTGGAAGGAGAGAACTGACCCCTCAAGTTATCGCCTGACCTCCGTGCATAAACACACACACATAATTAGATGTGATTTCTTATGCCGTTTTATTGGCCGATGGATGTCACTCAGTCGATGGAGTGCTTGCCTAGCATTTAGGAAGCTCTGGGTTCAGTTCCTAAAGCTGAACATGGTGGCACACACCTGTAACCCCAGTACTCAAGAGGCTGAAGTGGGAGGATCATTAAGTTCAAGGTCATCCTTGGCTGCCTAACAAGTTCAAGGTCAATCGGGGTACCTGAGACCCTGCCTCAGAAACAAAAGGCCCAAGATTATTGCCAGAAGCTAACAAAGAATATGCAAGTCCTGGAGATTTGAGTATAGAGATTGAGTAAAAGAGATTTTCTTGTTCTTGATGTCTCATTCACATTCTCAGTAATTCAAACAAGAGTGTGTCTTAACTTGTCCAGAATTATGTGGGTGCTGGTTCTGAGCCCTGATCTTCATGATGGTGCAGCAAGCACCTATAACCACTGTGGCTGTGCCATTTAAGTTAGGTTACTGGAACTCACTTGTTGATGTGATATTTGCTTAGAGGTGGCAAGATTTATTACTTTCTTACTGATGGTTTGATAAACTTGGTATTAGCCATATCCATGTGACCTAAAAAAGGACAAGGGTCACAAAATTTTGGCCAAAATGCGGGATTTTGTGACTGATAGGTACAGTTGATTTGGATGAGTGATATTCTTTGTCATTTAACTTTGCTACTCTACATAAAGAAGAGACATAATGTAGTTTGTGTCCTAATTGTTGTGTTGGTTTTTTTCTGCCCATTTCAGCAACCCAGACCTCTTTGTTTACTGTTGTGATTTTTCTGCCACTGCTATTGAACTGGTCAAGGTAAGTAAGTGACTTCTGCAGTGAGCTCCACTGACTAAGGGGAAAGGGGTCTCTTAAAACTCTGTGACTGTGGCCTGAAAGTGTAGAAAGTTCGTGAAGCACCTAGAACATAGAGCCAGGGAAGAATGCCTAATCTGCACTTAGCTGGAACTTGGGCATCTAGATCTCTGCAGACTTTTTAAATTATATATTTAGAGACAGAGTATGTGTACTTAGGAGTGTCAGCGGGATCAGAGGCATTGGAGTCTCTGGAGCTGGAGATCCAGGCAGTTATGAGTGCTGGGAATCAAAGTCAGGTCCTCTGCAGTAGCAGTAAGCTGTGCTCTTAGCTGGACCATCTCTCCAGCCCTGTCACCAAACATTTTTGTCCTTTATTTTTTGAGACAGGGTCTCATGTGATGACCTTGAACTTGCTGTGTAAACCTTGATCCTTCTGCCTCCACCTCCCAAGTGCTAGAATTGCAGACATGCACCCTGACTCATTCTGACTCTCACACTCTGGGTTCCCCGAAAAACCTCGTCGTGGTGACTAGGAGTGAATTCTTGTGCTGGGAGTAACAGTAGTGGCATCTAAAGCAAGGTCAGCTTCTCTCTGTGCTGTGTTCGCATTTCTGACCCATTTGTCTCTCCACCTCTGCAGACAAATTCAGAATACGATCCTTCTCGATGTTTTGCCTTTGTTCATGATCTGTGCGATGAAGACCAAAGTTACCCAGTGCCCGAGGACAGTCTCGATGTCATCGTCCTCATATTTGTCCTCTCGGCAATCGATCCAGACAAGTAAGTGTTAGGTCCTTAGCCTAAAAGACTTTAATGAAGACCTTAAACTCCGATTATACCCTAACTAAAAACGGTATCTTGTGTGTGACAGACATGAGAGCCATGTAACTGTAGTGCTGTAGTGTGTCCACTCCTGTTTCAGCCTTTGACCCACTGCCTGCTGCTCACCGTTGGGAGCTAAGTCTGTGAGCAGTGTGTGGACAGATTCCCACTTCATCCACTTAGCACTTGCTGCTTCACTGTTGAAATAACACAGAGTTGTTAAATTTACACATCTAGACTCCTGTGTTCTCTGGTGCTTGCTCTTTTTGTTTTTGATTTTTGTCTTTTGCTTTTTTGAGATGGTTTCTCTTTGTAGTCCTGGCTGTCCTGGAACTCGCTCTGTAGATCAGGCTGGACTCGAACTCCCAGAGATCCACCTGCCTCTGCCTCCCAAGTACTGGGATTAAAATCATGTGCCACCACTACCCAGCTTTGGTGCTTACATTTTTAGGAGAGCTGAAATACAGCTTTCCATAAAGTAAACTGGAAAGATACCCTTTAAAGGTCTGGCGAGGTGGCTCAGTGGTTAAGAGCACTGGCTGCTCTACAGACAGCTCGTTTATTTCCTACGCCCACATGCTGCTTCACAGCCATCCAGAGCTCCAGGTCCAAGGATACAGCATCTACTTTTGACTTCCGTGGGTACTGTATATATAAGGTGTACATGCGTGTAAATATATACATAAAAGAATGATTTTGTTTGTTCGGTTTTTTTGAAGATACTATTTTAAAATTTCATGTATGGTCAGTAAGATGGCTCAGCAGGTAAAGAAACTTGCCACCAACACGAGTTCAGTCCCCAGGGCTCAATGGAAGGAGAGAACTGACTATCCCACATTTTTCTCTGATTTCTACATGTAATATGTGCTTATGCACACACATGCTGTGGGGGGGAACAGTAAATGAATCTAATACATCTTTGTAAATTCATATGCAGGTAATTGGTGGTACTATTCAGTACAAAGCACATGTTTAGCATGGGTCCTGAGGATGTGTGCTCAGTGGTAGAGTCTTCTTCTCATGCACGGAGCCTGGGTTCAGATCCTAAACGAAGAAAACAAAAGAACGTAGCATAGTAGCCTGCGCCTGTGGTCTGGGTGATGATACAGGAGGCTGAGGCAGGAGTTAGCCCTGGAATTCAGAGGCTACTCGGGCAACATAGCAAGAGCCCAAGTCCAAAACAAAAAAACCTGTGCCTCAGGCAGCCAGTGACCCTATGAAATGTCCACGGGAGGAGGTGGAGTCGGTTATAAAGATGATGGCTGTGATGGTTGCACCGTTGACTGACAGCAGAGAAGCTCTGACGTTACCTAACTGAGCTAGCCCAGTTTTCCTCTAGGTCAGCAGTAAAGTTCTCTGGCCTCACAGGAGCGGGATGAGGCTTTGCAATGTTTCGTGTAGTGTATGTGCTTCAGTTGCTGTAAATGCTTAATCCTCTGCCAGACTTCTGGAGATGCTAGGTGAGCTTCCCACATATTTATAAAAAGAAGGCCCAGCTATGATGGTGCACACCCTAATCCCAGCACTTTCGGGGGCAGGCAGATCTCTTGAGTTAGAGACCAGCCTGTTCTATAGAGTGAGTTCCAGGACAGCCAGAGCTGCTCAGAGAAAACATGTCTTCAAAAACAAAAACAAAACAATAAAGAAGAAGCTTATTGTGGCCTCTGTTTTGGAGGTTGGTGGACTTTCAGGCCCTCTACAAGGTGGCACAACATCACCAATGAAAAATCTCTCATCCCATGGTAGGGTAAGGAGAGGAGGAGGAAGGGACAGAACCCCATGGTCTTTCCAGAACACCCACACATGCTCCTGGTGACCTACAGGTGCCACCCTTCTGAGTATCTGCCACCTAGCAGTTCACAGAAGAGGCCGTGGTTTTAGCATGTGGCCCCTGTGGAGAAGCACAGTGGCATGAGAAGCTCTCCCACAGGCTCATTTGCCGGCTGCTTACAGCACCATGGAAGTTGGGAGGCTTTCTGTGTGTGTAGTTTTTAGGCCATTTTCTAAAGCAGGTCTTTCTAAGTGGCCTGAGCTGTCGTCTGACTCGGCCCTCCTGCCTCAGCCTCCCAAGAGCTGAGACTGCAAGCGTGCATCATCACGCCAGCAACTTTAGACTCTATAGGGGAGTTTTTCATATAACAGGAAGGCGTGGTTGATAAAGAGTTTGAGACAGATGAGTCATGGGTACTCCCTACGCCATATGGTCAGGCTCCCTCCCGGAGAGCGGCAGGAGCACATGGCCAGGGCGGGAAGCGCAGAGCCAGGAGGAAGTAAGCCCGTCTAGTACTTGGAGTGTCCACCATCATGTGACATGTGGGGACTGGCTTTTGTGTTGTCAGAGTTAGGAAGTGTGTTGGTTTGGGGTTTGCGCTATAGGAGGGGGAACCCTTCCCTAGGGGACTTACACTCCCTCCGCCCTGCAGGATGCAGAAAGCTATCAGCAGGCTCAGCCGGCTCCTGAAGCCTGGAGGGGTGATGCTTCTTCGAGACTATGGCCGCTATGACATGGCTCAGCTTCGGTTTAAAAAAGGTACGTGGGGATCTGGAGAGCTGGGTCAGGGATTGAGAGCACTGGCTGCTCTTTGAGAACGCCCAGCTTCAATTTCTAGCAACCCATGGCATGTCTCAGGTAATTCCAGTTCCAAGGGATCTGATGCTTTCTTCTGTCCTCAACAGACACCAGGCATGCATGTGATACAGAGACATATGTGTAAGCAAAATACACAGAAGTAAATTTTTTTAAAATATATAAAAATGCTGGGCAGTGATGACAAATGCCTTTAATCTCAGGAGGCAGAGGCAGGTGGATCTCTGTGAGTTCGAGGCCAGGCTGGTCTGCAAAGCAAGATCCAGGACAGCCAGAGCTGTTACACAGAGAAACCCTGTCTCCAAAGACCAATCAGTATACACATGACTAGGTATGGTGGCTGAGCACTCAGGAGGTATTGGCAGGAAGATCTTCTGAGTTCAAGTCCAGCCTGATGGTTTATCTAGTAAGTTCCAAGTCAGCAAGACTACACAGTACCATACTGTGTACAAAAGAGTATGAGTGTATGTATATAAAGATCATTTGGTTGGGTGCTGTCTTAGTTAGGGTCTCTATTGCTGTGGCTAAACACAGCTTACACTTCAGCATTGCTGTTCATCAGGGCAGTCAGGGCAGGAACCTGGAGGCTGGAGCTGAGACAGAGGCCATGGCGAGGTGCTGCTTTCTCCTTCTGGCTTGCTCAGCCTGCACCCAGGACCACAAGTCCAGAGATGGCCCCACCCACAATGGGCTGGCCCCTCCCTCATCACTCACTAATTAAGAAAATCCCTGAGATCAAAGGCGTGTATCACCTTAGCCAGTTTACAGCCTGATCCTAAGGGTTTTCTCTACTGACATTCCCTCCTGTCAAATGTATATAGCGTGTGTCAAATTGACATAAAACTAGACAGCCCAGTGCCTACTTACATACATAAAGCCCTGGTTTTGATCCCTCAAATGGCATTAAACCAGGTGTGTATACACTTGTCAACCCAGGACTTGGGTGGTAGAGGAAGGAGGGTCAGTAGTTCAAGGTCGTTCTCAGCTACAGGACCCTGTCTCAAATAAAAAGTTTATTTTCCAAAGATATTTTGCCACTTAAGTGAAAAATGGGCTTGCCATTCAAATTAGACATACTACAGAAAGGTGGGTGTTTTGTTTGTTTTTCTTTGAGGGGGTGTATGGTTTTTGGTTGGTTGGTTGGTTGGTTGGTTAATTTTTTGAGACGGTTTCTCTGTGCACGTATACTTTACTGGCCTTGAATTCACAGAGATCCACCTACCTCTGCTTCCTGAGTGCTGGGATTAAAAAGGCTTGCATCACCACCACCTGGCAGAAAGGTAGTGGTTTTTTCTTAAGAAAATAAGAATCAGGGTGGTGGTACAAGTTCTTAATCTTAATCAGCAGGCAGATCTCTGTGGGTTCAAGGTTAGCCTGGTCTACAGTACTGGTTCCAGGATAGCCAGGGCTACACACAGAAAGATTGTGGAGAGAGAGAGAGAGAGAGAGAGAGAAAAGAAATTATGAGGAAATGGGTTTAATCTGGAAATTATGGTCTTTTAAACCATAACAGCCACTTTAGAAAAGTTAATATTTGAAGTACTTGATTATATAAATTATTTTAAATGTGGAACGGGTGAGAAGATTTGTATGCGCTTGTAATCTCAGTATTTGGGAGGCAAAATATGGGGATCAGAAGTTCTAGGCCCTCAGCTACACACTGAGTTCCAGCCCAGTATATGCATTGATATTATGTCTTAAGAAACAAAAGGGCTGGGGAGATGACTTAGCAGTAAAGAACACTTGTTCTTGCGGAGGACCTGTACCAGTACCCACATGGCACTTCCAGGGGGCCAGGTGCCCTCTTCTTGTCTCCACAAGGTCCTGCATGTATGTGTATATATTTTTTCATGAAACAGGGCTGAAGAATTGGTTTAGTGGTTATGTATGGGCTGCTCTTCCAGAGGACCCAGGTTTGATTCCCAGCACCCACGTGGTGACTAACAGCTTTGTGTAACTCCAGTTCCCAGAGATGTGATGTCCAGTTCTGGTCTCCAGGGGCACGATATGCACATTGCACAGATGCACTGCAGGCAAAGCACCCATTCACAATAAGTAAAAAAATAAATATTTTTAAATTTTTAAAACATAAAATGAAGAGAAAGGTGAGTTCGAAGACACAATCAGACTTGGTGGTGTGTGTTTTTAATCCTAGCATCTGGACATCAAAAGACAGTATTTTCATGAGGTTTAGGCCTTACCAGAAGTTACAGGAGAGTAAAATCATGAGGTTAGGTACCCAGCTCAGTGGCAGAACACTTGAGCATGTTCCCAGGCCTGCAAGAATGTTTAAGGTTAGAGAGTTTAGCCGTGGAGTTTAGCTCATATAGAGTCCTTCCTAGTGTGTGCAGTGCCCTCAGCACCAAAAAACAAGACAGGCAGCAGGTGGCATAGTGAGAAGACATTTTGGTGTTTATGACAGACGAAGTCTCTATATTTCTTGTGTTTGTCAGGGGGCTGTTATTAACTTGATAAGGAAAATATCCATGACCCACCCAAAACACTAACAGTTCGCAGAAGAGATATTTAAATGACCAGTAACAAACGTTCAAGGATGAAAAAGTAAAAGGATAATTCTTCTCAACCCTGTTGCAGCCCAGTTCTAGAAAGAGCTAGATGCCTCCGTTTGTGATAAAAATTCAAATTGCAGCCAGACAGTGGTGGAGCACATCTTTAATCCCAGCACTCGAAGGCAGAGGCAGGCGGGTCTCTGTAAGTTCATGGCCAACCTGGTCTACAGAGCAAGTTCCAGGACAGGTTCCAAAGCTACAGAGAAACCCTGTCTTGACAAACCGAAAAAAGAAAAAGTGTGTGGCAGGGAGGAGAAATGGCTCCAAGGTTCAGAGCACTGGGTGCTGTTCCAGAGGTCCTGAGTTCAATTCCCAGCAACCACATGGTGGCTCACAATCATGTGTAATGAGATCTGGTGCCCTCTTCTGGCCTGCAGGCATACATGGAGACAGAATATTGTATACATAATTAATTAATAAATAAATAAATCTTCAATTTAAAAAAAAAGGAGGAGCATGTAGGGAATTACCTGCAGGTTGTAAGACTAAAGGGATGAACAAGAAGAAGGGAAGGGTTGTCCACGTGAAAACAGTGAGTTCTCGCAAGTGTCTGTTTGTGGACACAAGAGCAGAGCCCAGGCAAGCTTAGTCAAGAGTCAGTTACATTGATTGATGCTTTTCCCGTCCCAGGATTCTACGCCCCCCCTGGGGGGGGGGGGGGGGGGGGACGCAGTCTAGAGCTCAGCTAGGAATCACATTATCATCTGATCTTGAAGTTTTGTTTTTTCCTATGTGCTGCTCTTTGCTGAAGCGCTGTGCCTTTGTAGGGAATTGCAAGTTCCTGTGGCGTGTCATGTGTCACTAGAATGCACCTCTGCCTTCTGAATGCCTGCTGTTGGCAGGAAGGTACTGGGAGTTGAGGTGGCCTGGGACTCTGTGCCAGTCGTCCTGCCTGAGCCTCCTAAGTATTGTGGTTCTAAGCATGAACCACCACACTTAGCCTGTTGTATATTGCTAAGCTATGAGATTTAAAGTGCTTTAGAGACTGAAGAGAGTTCTCAGCTGTTAAGAGCACTTACTGCTCTTGCGTAGGACCTGGGTTCAGTTCCCAGCACCCACATCAGACATCTCACAACCTCCCATCACTCACAATTCCAGGGAATCAGACACCCCGGGCTCTCTCAGCTCCTGTCTGCATATATTCTCGTTCGGGCACAAGGCTTAGATAAGAAGTCCTTTTCTTTCTTTCTCTCTTTCTTTCTTTCTTTCTTTCTTTTTTTAATGTTTTAATGTATCTGTTTTGTCATGTAATGCAGGTCAGTGTCTCTCTGGAAATTTCTATGTGAGAGGTGATGGCACCAGAGTTTACTTCTTCACACAAGGTATGACAAAGCTGTTCCTTATTAGTGCTAGAGGCAGTGGGTATGCCAGCACTGCCCCTTCTCCGTTCTGAGCTGTCGCTTTCCCCAGGCCCCTCCGGCTTGTGCTGACTCTCAGTCGGCTGCTTTTCCCTCACTTCTGCTGTGTTCTCCAAAGTGGACACCTGCCCGTTTTGCAGGTCTCCAGCCTAGTCTGCCTTGCCCTCTGCGCCAGGCTGTGCTTCGGTACAGCTGTGCCTGCCAGTGGGTCATTGGCCTTTGGCTCCAGGTGACCTGGATCTGCTCTGTGGTCTGCCCGGTCACAGACTTCACCCTCCACCAGCACGTTAGAAATATTCTTGGGCCCTTTGTCAAGTCATATACTTTGAATCTATGTCTACATAGCATTGAAAGTTGGCCCTAAAACATTGTCTTGGCATAAACATCTGTCGATTTTTGCTCATAGTTTTTTTTTTGGAGGTTATTGTTTCGTTTGAAATCAGGTCTCCCTGTGTGACCCAGGCTGGCCTTGAACTTCCAGTCTTCCTGTATCACCTTGCCAACTACTGATGTTACAGGCTTCCTTCACCCCCATTTGTGTGTGTGTGTGTAACTTTTTTGTTTGTCTTTTAACTTTGGCTTTGTTTTCACTTTTTTGTGGGGGTTAGTTTTTCAAGACAGGGTTTCTCTGTGTACCTGGCTCTCCTGGAACTTGCTTTGTAGACTAGGATGGCTTTGAACTCACAAAGATCTGTCTGCTTCTGCCTCCCAAGTGCTGGGATTAAAGGTGTGCACCTCCACCACCTGGCTGTATTACTTTTTTTTTTAAGATTTATTTTTTATTTCATGTGTTTGTTCTGTCTGAAAGAGTATCTGTGTACCACATGCATGCCTGGTGCCCTCAGAGGCCAGAAGAGGGTGTTGAAGGCCCTGGAACTAGAGTTGCAGATGGTTCTGAGCCATAATGTGGGTGCTGGAAATTGAATTTGGGTTCTCTAGAAGAGCAGCCAGTGCTCTTAACTACTGAGCCATCTCTCCAGTCCCTCATGTAACTTTATATTGTTTGTAGAGCCCTTAGGAGCTTTTTAAAAACTGGACTAATAGGGAGGGACTGGGAGAAGAGGAAGGGAGGGGAAAATCAGGCTAGAAATTAATTAATAAAAAAATTTTAAAAAACTGGTCCAGTGTCATGGAGCCATGTGCTCGCAATCCCAACACTGGAAAAGGAGAGACGGGTCCCTGGGGCTTGCTGACAAGCCACCTAACCGCTTGGTAAGTTCCAGGTTAGAGAGGCCTAGAGAATGGCATCCGAGGGTGCCCTCTGACCTCCACATGCACATGCACCACATATACATGAACACTAAGAGCACATCCTGTAGCTTTCACCTCAAAACTCCTCCTCCAGGACTTGGCACCCAAACCTCTACCTGCCATTGCGAAATTGTTGGTCCGCGAGTGAATAGCCAGTGCTATCGGGGCCTCTTTAAAGCATACTGATTGCGTTGTCTCAGGGCTCCAGTTAGCATGGACAGCCATCAGCAAACCCCTTTCTCCAAAGGAAACCATACACATCTGCTCTCTCCAAACAGATGAGCTGCATGCGCTCTTCACGGCCGCGGGTCTGGAAAAGGTGCAGAACCTGGTGGATCGCCGCTTGCAGGTGAACCGAGGCAAACAGCTGACCATGTACCGAGTCTGGATTCAGTGCAAATACAGCAAGCCTCTCCTGCCGAGTATCAACAGGGAGGTGCCCGTGCCCAACACCACATGACGTCATCGTGTGTCAGGGCTTTTGTAAGGAGACATGATGTTGGACACTCTGGAAATATAAGGAGCTTGGAACCTTGAACCTAGGAAGAACTACTTTCTAGTAACATTGACAATTGTGGCTTTTATTTGTGAAGTCCATTAATATGTATTTTCTCAAGTTCACTTTTGATTACTGTTGTTGAGTGGGGGCAATGCTGTGATAAATGTGTGGGGTTCAGAGGACTGCTACTGCCGTCGGTTCTCTCCTTTATGTTGGTCCTGAGATCCAAACTCAGGCTTGGCTGCAAACACCCATGAACTTTCTCACCAGCCCTCAATTTTATTTTTATTTTATTTTTTAAAAATTATTTCGTATACAGTGTTCTGTCTGCACGTGTGCCTGCAGGCCATAAGAGGGCACCAGATCATTACAGATGGCTGTGAGCCACCATGTGGGTGCTGGAAATTGAACTCAGGTCCTCTGGAGGAACAGCCAGAGCTGTTAGCCTCTGAGCCATCTTTCTAGCCCTAGGCTCTCAGAATGTTAATACCTAGAATTTTACATAAAGGAAAACTCACTCTGCAATCAAAAATGACCTTGAACTTTAGATCCTAAGTGCTAAGGTTAAAAGTGTTTGCTAGCACATATATTTTATGAGTTAAGAATAACCACCCCCTTCCCCCCAAAAAAATAAGAATAAAAACCAAGGGACTGGAGAGACGACCTGATGGTTAAGAGCACGGGCTGCTCTTCCAGAGGACCTGGATTCCATTCCCAGCACCCTGGCAGCTCACAGCTGTGTGTGGCTCTGGTTCCAGGGGAACCGACACTCATGGCCAACACCAGTGCACATAAAATAAATAAAATTTTTTTTTTGTTTTGTTTTTTGAGACAGGGTTTGTAGTTTTGGAGCCTGTCCTAAAACTCACTCTGTAGACCATACTGACCCCAAACTCACAGAGATCTGCCTGCCTCTGCCTCCCAAGTGCTGGGATAAAAATGAATAAAATTTAAAAAAAGAAAAAAGAATAAAACCAAGATCGGGCAAGTGTGATGGCTCACAGCGGTAATCCCCGAAGGTGGAAAGCATGTATTGGAGTCCCCATACGATCAAGGCAGCTTGGACTAGAGTGTGAAGCTGTGTCGCAGAAGGCTTGGGAATATGGCTCACTGGTAGAGCACGTGTTTACTGCACAGACCCTGCTGCCTGTAACACTGATCCCAGAACCTGGGAGTCTGAGACAGGAGAATTGCCTTAAGTTCAAGGTCAACCCAGGCTACCTAGTGAAATCCTATCTCAGCACACACACCACGGGACAGTACTGGAGATTCATACACAAAAGTTGTGTTACTATAAAATGCATTACAAGTTTTGGGGAACGCCAGTGTCTGTTGGAGCAGCTGTGGTTGATATATAAGGGTCTCTGCTGAGTCATAAGGGAATAGACGACATGAGAAGTAACTGTTTTAGGAGGCTTTTCTTAGGATTCAAAGTGGTGGTGCACACCAGTACTCCTAGCGCTCAGAGAGCTGGTGCAGGAAACGCTCCCTAAGTGCCAGCCTGGGCTACGTGGCAAGACCCTGTCTCAGAAAGATACTATAACCTTGGTAA